CCGCTTTCCTTTATTTTTTTTTTGTGTTTGTCAACTTACAACTGTAAATGCTGCACGTCTAATTGGCCAAGAGAGGGGGGATTGGGGAGGAGGGATAGGCAGTGGGTGGCGGAAAGGCCGCCTCATCAATCATCAAGGAACATGAACCGCCTGCCGGGGAACTGAGCCCCAATTCGGGACGGGGAATCCCAATCCAAATTCCTTTGTTTCCGACCCGGCTTGTTGACATTTCAGGTTGAGTTGTCACCAGCTCCCCAAAAGCTAATCCCAATCCCTGACACTCGGAATTCTCAATGCACGATGTAGTTACTCCATTCCAATTTTCGATACTTTTTTGTCGGCCTTTGTTTGCCGCGTTTTTTCCCCAGCCCTTTCTCCATTGTTTGGCCTTCAAATAAAAATCAAAAAATCATTAATTAAATCGTAAGACACCCTCCTGGCCAACGGGCTTTTTTTTATTTTTGGAGGGACAACCGTTGGCGGTTGATGTTGACATTTATAATACATCATCCTTGATCGAGCTCATAAATAATTGGGCAATCAAGACTGTGTGGAAAAACGATGGGCAAGGAGATGTTGCTGTCAATCAGCAATGAAATATTCATTCCCTTACGATATTATTATTTGATTTGACGTCTTGAGTGCTTTATTAGTTTGGGTTTGTTGATGATTTTATTTTGGGAACATACAGATTTGGAGCGCTTTTTAAGTGGATACTTAAGAGACTCTATAGTCTATAAAAGATATAGAAAAATTAACGGAAATTTTTGGGTTTTCAAATAGTTGGAAAACAAAACCAAACTTTAACATGGCTATTCAACTAGCAATGCCTAAACACCTATAAGCAGTATATTTAAGATTTAATTATTCAAAAGCAAAGCTATTTTCGTTGTTAACATGTCTCTTGGAAATTCTTAGAAACTGATTGCGAATGAAAAGTTAACAAGAAAGGAAAGCTAACTTTGGGCGGAGCCGAAGTTGATATACCCTTGCAGAATACTCTATAATTATATTCTCTAAAATTATTCCTATGATGCATTCTTAATACTCATAAAAATCCAAACTTCCTAACTTTAAAAACACCAAAGTTATGGCATTTCCAATGGCATTTCCGATCAATCAGTTATATGGCAGCTATAGGATATAGTTGGCCGATCCCGGCCGTTCCGACTTATATACTGCGTGCAAAGGAAAGAAGGGTGTGTGCAAAGTTTCAATTCGATAGCTTTAAAACTGAGAGACTAGTTTGCGTAGAAACAGACAGACGGACAGACGGACAGACAGACGGACAGACGGACAGACGGACAGACGGACAGACGGACATGGCTATATCAACTCAGGAGGTGATCCTGATCAAGAATATATATACTTTATAGGGTCGGAGATGCCTCCTTCACTGCGTTGCACACTTTTGACCAAAATTATAATACCCTCTGCAAGGGTATAAAAAGGGTTCAAGCGTAAGTTGAAATATTCAGCGACATCTGTTGAGCTGACATCGCAGCATCCGCGAAGGACATAGTTTACACATTCATTGTGATCTCATTGTGGGGGAAATGGTTCCGGGAAAACCTTGCCCCCAATCGGCTTTTTCCCCGGTTCCAGCGACACATAGCGACAGTTGACATCCCTCCCGCATTCCCGCTCCCCCCGGCAACCCGCAATCGGGTTAAGAGCAGTGGAAACCGGGCCGAGATGGCAGCAATCCGCGGCTTAAAAAGGAATCACTGCCGGACAGAAATGGCCAAGGCAAATTGCAAAACTTTGTCCGCCAGCTTTGAATGCCATTAAGTGTCGCAGCCGCAGCAACAGCCATGCACCCACACATGCCACTGCCCCGAAACCACCCTAGACCTCCCTAAACCACCCTGGTCCACCCTAGACCACCCTAGACCTCCCTGAAATCACCCAGCACCCGCAAGTAAAAAAAAAGTGTTGTGACGCTGACATAATGGCAAAATCAGGCACGCACACAAAGACAACCATGTGGTTTATGCCTCGCAACGCAGAAGACACAGCTCAACTGCAAGGATTAAGGACATCCGCGGAGGACCTGGCCATATGTCCACTAGAGTGCACAATTAAACCCTGGGAAATAGTGGTCGAATGTTGGAATGTCATACCTCGTTGAATTCGTAATAAAATGTTCAATCAAGTTGTATCCTCAGAAAAAGAAAAATTTCCATTATGTCATTTACGGAAAAAAAATATAATTAAAAAAATTTCATAACCCTTTTGAAAAATATTTAGTATAATCAGCTCGATTTTTCAGTTTTTCAATCAAAACTCTGAGAAATAGTGGTCGAATGTTGGAATGTCATACCTCGTTGAATTCGTAATAAAATTTTCAATCAAGTTGTACGCATAGAAAAAGAAAATTTTCCATCAAAGTGTCATTTACAGAAAAAAAATCATTCAAAAAATTTGTTCGAAAAAAAAGCATGACTCTTATGAAAAATATTTTGCCCAAAATCAGCTCGATTTTTCAGTTTTTCAATCAAAACTCTGGGAAATATTGGTCGAATGTTGGACTGGCATACCTCGTTGAATTCGTGTTGGCCCAAAAATAGACAGCTTAATAAATATGTAAACAAGAGTCTGTTTACGAAAACAGTGAACTGGATAGAGAGTCCTATGGATAATAATTTATTTGTCGCCCCTAAAAGTTATAATTTGTTGTTTTTAATCATAATAAATATGAAGCCTGGAGATTGCCCAACTAAAAATGGTCATCATGTCGTATGCGCAATATTTTGCCAACGCCTTCGAGTCTTTTTTTGCCCACGCAAAAAGTTAAAATTTGTTGTTTCTTTTTACCCCAGACAAAATGTAAACATTTTTGAGTAATTAAGTTAGAGTTTTGGCAATTTTAGTTTAGAGAGAGATCCAAATGTCCGTTTAGAAAACGTTGAGGCTGTTCCACTACCAACAGCAATATGCAGAGCGTAACGAGATAGGAGATAGGACCACGCCCCCAACTTTGTATATAGTGCCGCCCACCATTTCAAGTTTTTTGTTTTTTTTTTTTTCAGTCACGGCAACTGTTGACACTACAAAGTAGCCAACGTTGTTGTTTCTGTAGATGATGTCCTTGTTGCAGTCGTAAAAAAGTCTTTCGTGCGTGTGTGTGTGTGTATGTTGGTAACACATAAATATGCATTTCCCATTTTCCAACAGCAGCAGCCATCGAGCCATTGCATGCGAATATTTTTATACATATTCATTGGCTTGGCCATGTCCATGTCAATGTGGGTTAGTGTGCTTTCCGCCACCCCCTCCCCCCCGCACTTTTCCCACCGATTTTCCCCAGCTTTTCCTCCAGCATTTCCCTCGAATTTTCCTGCTCCTGCTGCTGCTCCTGTCTGGCACCTGCGACATGCAACTCGGGCCAGGACTGGCGTGCATGCCACATTTGCATAGCCAGCTGTGGGGCGCCTCCCCGCCATTACCTTTCCCCAATAGATCCACCCCCCTCCACATAATGTCAATAAAAAGTAACGGCAACTGATTTCCACTTTTCCTTAAGCCAGGTATGGACCAGATCGAAAGTATTTACTTGTTTTATACAATTCAGATTATTACATTTTGAAACAACACTGTGTTATTCTACCCAAATTGGTCAAATTACTTATGTAAAATCAAAGATTAACTTAACCTGTTGATTTTAAGGTTTGTAAAGGTGGTCAAAAATGATAATATGAGCCAGTAAGAATTTTTAAATGGTTACATGGGTTTACATAGTTTCTTAAAACTACTTTTTTGGAACCAAAAAGTTATGAATCGACTTTTTTAAACCTATTTAATATGACAAATTTTGTTGTATTATTTTTTGATTATTTGTAAAAGACTAGTTCCTGAAACTTTACTTTTTTGGGCGCATCTCCATCGCCACTAATAAAATCACCTGAAAGTAATATGGATGTAAGCGAAAAGAACAAAAAACAACAGAAAACAAGCCAAATGGCAAACAGCAAACAGCAAATAAATAGTAAAACAACCAGTCAGACTTAATGGGCCTGAGGGAGGGGGGGGTGGCGCAGGGCAGGGAGCTACCATGTCCGTATGTTTGTCCTTTTGTCCGTACGTCTGCGTGTCCATGTCCGTGTCTATATCCCTGCCATGCGATGCCAGCGCGTGGTTTACACATGTTACCTGCTCACCTGAGGACTCGAATTTGAACCCGTACTCGTTGAGGCCCTGCAACAAATTCAGCAATAACAACCGTCATTAGTCGACCCGCCGACCAAAAGTGATGGGAATTATCTGGGAATATTACTAGGTACTTGTTTTAAGGAGATTTTACCATGCTCATGAATGCTTGTATAAATAGTAAGAACATTAAGATTTAAGGGTTCCATTCTATCAATGATGAAACATCGCATTTGAGCTAAAACAAGAAACAATTTATCAAAAAATATATTTTAATTTATATATAAAGGCCATATAAAATAAGATATGGGTACACTAAAGAGTACCTCTTCCACCTCTAAAAAACTGACTAGATAAATTCCAGCAAAATTAGTGGGCTGATGGCAGTCAATAAAACGATTTTGATTATGAATGACAACATTTGAAATGTTCCAATTACGCTCAAATATTTTGAAAAACTTCCACGCCAAAAGCCCAAATAGACTGACTTACTGACTGAATGACAGCGACAAATTTGTCGTTGACCATTTTCCGAGGAAATTGTGAAATGGAAAATGGCAAACGGTGAAATTCAAGCTGTCCTTTAAAAATGTGAGCCCTTCTATGGCGAAACTTTGATTGCGGCAAATGTAAATAAATTGGTGAAAAGTGGAAACTTGATTGTTTAACTTAGCAAGTGATTTGTTTTGTTTTTTTGGTTGAGAAAGGTTTTTCCTACCTTGTTAGGTAATTGACTTTTATTATATATTATACATTTATTGACTTGTTTTCTTTGCTTGTTTTTTAACTAGATGAGCAATTAAAATTATAAAATTAAATTAACATATTGAATTATATTTTGTATTTTTCAGCGGACAGCTCGTTTCTTTTGGCCAACGCACAAATCGTCGATTTCCCGATCGTCTACTGCAATGAGTCCTTCTGCAAGATCAGCGGCTACAACCGGGCCGAGGTCATGCAGAAGTCGTGCAGGTATGTGTACGTATTGCCGATTTATTTTCTCTTCAACTACTTTCGCTCTCTTCTCGCTGTTGTTGGTGTTCTCTGCGTTCTAATCGATGCTTTAATTGTTAATCCTAAACGATTGTTAACACATATTTATTGATGTCCTTGATGTCGAGGTTTTAATTGCCGATAAAAACGGCAAGCCATTTGATTTATTACTATCGATGTGGCTGTCATTATTATTGCTTTTATTGTATGTAGTGAAACATTGTTAGTCCATACATATTATATCGTATTCGTTTTATTTTTATAAATTAAGGCCTCTTAAAATGAAGATCTGATTGTCAAACAGCGCAAATGCCATTTAAGTTGTATGTAATTATTATAAATATTATAACTATGTTATAACTATTTAAGCAAAAAACTAGACAAAATCTCAAATGAGAAATCTGAATGTTTAAAGGGGCCTTAACAGTCAGGAATATTATTTATATTTATGCTCATTATTTCTTTAATTTTCTTCCTGAACCTTACTTTTTTAATTTAGTTTTTTATTTAATTATATATAGTATCCCAATGTGTTTGTAATATATCCTTTATTAAATGCCAGTCTTCACACCTATTTGCACTTATCTTTGGGTTTCCATTATCACTTTCACCTTCTTAAGTTTGACTTTTAACCACGTTAAAGTTGCATGCTCATTTCTTAGGCAAATATTAGCTTTGAAGCAGTGCTGCTCAAACTGTAAGCTGCATAATCGCACAGGTGAGGCAGAGTTAGTGTGAGTGTGTGAGGGGTGGGGGGAGGGGGGGTAGAGAGTCAGACAGGTCGGAGACTCTGGACATTTACCTCTGGGAGTCCTGACAGCTAAGAGGATTGCCCGAGATTGCAGGAGATTTCTTACCTGTCTCGACCCCTCCCTCTTCTCCCCCTTCTCCCCCTTCTCCACCCATTAAAAGCTCGTTCACGCACCTGACTTGACCTGCCTCACCTGCCCATTGTTTTTTTTTCAACCACTTCGCCGTGTTTATCTGCTTAACGGCTTATCCGCAGCTGCTTACACCGGCCATTGAATGTGAAGTTCATTTATTGTTCCAGCTTTTATATGCTTCGCTCGTAGTTTTTCAATTAATTTGCGTATTTTTTTGCCGGCCATTAAAAAACCATTGTCGAACTTAATGCACTTTGCTGCTCAGCGAACTTAATGCAAATGGACAGGAAGGCTTTTTACCTTGCTCCATCTCGTGTAATGAAAGAAAAATGCCACAAAGTAGCGCATAATGGGAAAATATGCTAGAGATGCCATGTAATTGTGATAAAAACACAGTGTTGCATTATGAAGGGAATTAGTATTTTCCAAACTTTGGATAATCACTGATAAAAATATATTTTGTTCGTTAGACCAATAAAAAACTATATTTCTGCTATGAATATATAAATCAAAATAGGCCATGTGCCATGTGTTACAGAACTTACTTCCAAATATAACAATTTATTTGTAAACAACTTGGTTGAAATGCATTATTTGTACAATAAAAAAAATCAGCTTCGTTAAAAAATTAAAGAAGTAAAACAACCACAAAGCAAAAGGGCTAAAAGTAATATCGTGTCACTGACCATGTTTTTTTTTATAATTAGAATGACCATGATACATACACATATGCATAGAATAAATATTAAAGTCAGTCATCTCTAATATAGATTTAAAATATTCATATCGGCGTAATTGCCCGAAAATGTTTAAGGCAGATGAATCCCCCTGGGAAGTTGGTTTAATTTTGTCCGCGGGAAATCGGTATATTTTCCCCTAACCAGTTTTTCTTTTGTGCCCGCCGCCTGCGTTTCCATTTCCCGTTACACTATTGCAAATTGCCTGCCGGTGGTCCTGACCAAACAAATTTTCTATGCAAACCTTTGGTGAATTGATGTGGGGGAGTGAGGTAGATGGATGGCGAGTGAAAGAGATGGGTAGAGAGAGAGAGAGAGAGAGAGAGATAGCATCTGCACAAGTGTTAACTGCATTTGTTTGCCTTAATACGGCTAGGACTTTCGATGCTCGTGAACTGGGTCCCTCATCCTTTTTTTTTTTGTGTTGGCCTCTCTATTCCCGTCTCTTTCAGCGCTTTCGCTCACCCTCTCGCTTTCGCCCACCAGCCTCATAAATCAACAAGCGGCGGCCCAGAGGCCAGCGTATCCAATGATTCTCCCGAGAATTGCTCGTAATTTGCAGGCCAAAAAAGCAGCCCTAAAAAGAATAGGGTACGGCAGAGTGTACCTGCAGCATCAGCGGATGATTCCCCAGTGGAAAAAATACACGTTTTTAATGCCAATCTGCCGTTTAGCTAGAGCATGCCATCTCTCTCTCTCTGGGCACATACATCCCTCTCTTTCGGCCGCTCAATCATCCGTTTTGGTGTGACCCACTTCGTTGTTGTTGCTGTAGTTGTCGTTGTTCTTGCTTGTTTCTGTTTTTCTGGTCGCGTGTGAACCTCAACAACAAAAAAAAAAAGGAACACGAGGAATGACGGCCAAAAGCAACAAGAGAACATTGACCAGTTAAAAAAAAAGGGAAAGAAAACTGAAGGAGAAGGAAAATGGAAAAAAGGGATAGAAAGTTCAAAACAGTCAAGGAACCGTTTGATTTTCACTCGACATTTGCTGCAATGCAATTCTTTTTCGCTTTTTGTATCTTCTAAGTTTCTATTACAGTGAAAACTCTTTTTCAAGAACTGCTACTCTATTAGTTACCGATTTTGTAAACTTTAATTTTTTTTGTATAGAAAAGAAGGGTATCCACCCAGACTATAAATTCTAACTTAAAGTGTCTAAAGATACAGTTTTGGAATCCTAAATAGCGTAAAAGAATTCAAAACCGCATTAAAATAACGTATACGACAAGGTTAACAAAAAAAACTCCCATAAAACTTGGCTGATTATCAATTCTAACTTTGGGTGTCTAAAGATACAGCTTTAGAGTCCCAAATAGCGAAGAGGAATTCAAAATGAAGACATTGGATAAAAGAAATTTACGCTAATTGTCAGAAACGCTTTAAAATAACGTATACGACAAGGTGAACAGTAAAAACTTCCATAAAACTTGGCTAAGAGTAAACATAACTTAAGGCTCTTATTACTTTTAATTCAAGCTAACATAATATTTAATTTGAGATATATTGAGTAGCTAGCTTTTAAAAAGAATAGTTTATCAAGTGCAACAAAAATTCTTGCTTTTAAGAGACTATGTTGGTTTTAAGCATAATTTAACACCTAAACCTTAAGATCTTTCATTTCTTTTTCAAAATTCCCTACACCTGGAAAAGTGTTTTGAAATCTCTATAATACAGTTCCAGCTGGTAAAGCCCGTTGTGCACAGCATTCTGGTATATGTTAGATTGAATTATATGTTTTCTTTGGGTGCTTTTTTCTTTGCACGCGAGCCCCAGCAAAATAATAGAATTTCGAGTGCCTGTCGAGTGCTTTTACTGTGCTCCACCCATGAGCACATAAACACTTTGTGCATCCACAGCTATATCTATATCCCCCGAAACCCGGAGCATAAGCATATCCAGGACCTGTTTTTTGTTTGCTTTGTAACCCAATTTCGTTTTTTGTGTCCCTCTGTGTGTGAACACAAAACACATACACATACTCGAACACACACACTCTCACACACACACACACACTCGACCCGTGACGTCGCCGATTCGCTCGAGCATAGTTTGTTGAACTTTTGTTCGGGCCACGAATAAAGCAAAACAACAGAAATTAACTACTCCTCCCTGCCACGCCTCCTTTGTCCGCCTCCTTCACCCACTTTTCCTTCGGTTGCGTTCTCGTTTCCCTTCGTTTCATTCGCCGCTGACGTCATCGAGCCTGGCCCCAAAAAGTATGCAACACTTTTGTACTGTAATGGCACTGCAAGTGGTTTTCCCTATCCCAAATTCTGACATTTCCCCCAAGTGAAAATAGGCACCAAAAGTTTAGTCCCTTGCTTAACCCAGAAACTCGATCATTAATTATTTAGTTTTCAATGGGAAATGAACGAAAAATAATACATTTAACAAAGGTACACAATATGATATACATAAAGCCCATGCAACGCCATAGTTTGTGAACATTTTGTTGGGTTTTCCCTGGGAAAAAGGGCTGAAGCTATCACGCATAACTTTTACCCGTACGTTGGTATATTAAATTACTGGCTACAGTTTTTGGTTTAAGGAATCTAGGCAAAACCAACACTGTCAGAAAATAATACAATAATAATATTTACATTTGACTTGGCAGTAAACACCATTATATTTGCATGATAACATAACAATAACAATATACATACTTTATGAGGCTTTTCTTAACCAACACTCCACAAGCGATATTTTTTCATTTAAGTTGTGGTAGTTCTAGATCGCCTTGACCTAATATAAAATAAAATATTGACCTGAGCCCCCAAGGAAATGTGGAGACCATTCGGTTGAGCAGCGGTGCATTAAATTGATATTTGTTTAATACTTTTTGCTGTGTGCAGTGAAGCTTCCACGTATTTTTACTCGGTGTGCCCCAGGTGCATCAATCTTGTTTTGTTCGGCATGTTTTCCTCGAATTGGAACGCTTTCTGTTTTTTCCCATTTTCCGCTGCATGTGTTTGCGCTGCCGTTCGGTGGGTGTATGTACTATACATGTGTGTGTTCGTGTGTGTGTGTGCGGCATGCAACCGACCAACCCAAAGCCAACCAAGAATAATACCTCGTCTGCTCTGCACATCTCTTTCTTTCTATTTCTGGCTCCACATCTACATCCACATCCACATCATCATCCCTCTTTGGGATTCCTGCAGATGCGGCTTCATGTATGGCGAGCTGACAGACAAGGAGACGGTGGGACGGCTGGAGTACACGCTGGAGAACCAGCAGCAGGATCAGTTTGAGATTTTGCTCTACAAAAAGAACAGTGAGTATGGCCCCCCCCCCTTGGCTTTCAAAAACCGAAAAACAAAAAATTTCCAATTTCTGCGTGTGCTAAATTGCCTGTGCCCTGTGCTCGCCCTAATGGCCAGTAGTTTGGAGCTTGATGCCGGACCCAAATCAAAGTCACCCGGCTTCGCACAAGGTCCTTTGTTCCCCCATCGATGCTAGGTCCTTCATTAAGTCACAGTCGCGGTGGCAACAATAGTGGGATTCCTGAAAAAGCACTAAATCAATAAAGTATTTTTACAATTTCATAACGTATTTGTATTGTTTTACAGTATTTTAAATAGTTCAAGTCTTGAAAAACATGTATGTTTCCGAATAACATCAAATATAAATCACATTCAGTAATAACATGTTCCAAGTAAATAGTAATTCCGAAACGCAAATGAATATTTTAACCGACTTTGTTGGCTATTTGGCTTTATGCTCGAGTTGTGAATGTAAATGTAGATTGTTCATTTCATGAATTGCTGGCACTCCGAACCGTTCATAATTCATTTCCAAGTCGCCCCCAGCGCTTGAATTCTATTTGCGAGTGCTTCTGCACACATACCCCTTCCATTTGGCCACCTGTGCTTCCACCCCCCCTCGCCCTCCCCCTCCCCCTCTACCAGTAATGCCAACAAATTGGGGCTGCGATGGCAGGCCGCCGGCACTTTTGAGTGAGGCCCATCAATCAAGCTGAGAACTCCCCCCCGCTTTCAGACACCTGTAATGCTGTAATGCCGTAACGCCATCCATCCGATCCCGGCCATCCATCCATCCATCCATCCATCCTATCCCCGGCCAAATCAAGTGGAATCGAGTCGCCCATGGCTCCCCAGCGACTCCTAAGTATTGCCAGATATTGCGGGTGTCGAGCTCATGAATTAACGCCTTCGAGTATCAATTTTCAGATTTGCAGTGTGGCTGCGCCCTCTCGCAGTTTGGCAAGGCACAAACCCAAGGTATTTACGAGGTTTTACGGATGCGATTCGGCTTGATTTTCCGCGCGGCCCAGTCAATTTTCCATCTCGATTCATGTCTTGGCAGGCTGCCCATGTCCATTCCCATGCCCACTTCCACATCCTGTTGCATGTGTGTGGTTTGGGGCATTAAATAGGCATAAATCAATTGCAATATGAGAAAGTGCAACATCTGGGGTGGTCCAATTGAGATTGAAATTGCAATTGGCCGGCACAATATTTGCTTCGATTGGATTTTGGGGGCCAAGGAGAGAAAAGGGTGCTGGTGCTTCAGAAACAATAGCTGAATTTGCACTGACAGGTGTCCCCTGGCAATTGGATATCGGTGGCTAGCCTCTCGTATTTATATGGCCAAAACCAATTAATCCAGTCAGTATGTATTGGAATATAAATAGAAATAGGAACAGAGACTGAAACTAAAACAATAACCGCACATAATTATTCAACGGAAACGGAAGTAGCAAATTGTGCTAGCAATTAGTGAATAATTATGCCATCAACTGTACACCCACACAGAAAATCACTTACACAGACAATCATAACGGATGGTAAAGAGTCCTTAAGGACAATTACCAGAATTTTGTATAGTATGTGGAAAAAATAATAGAGTCATCGACTAATAAAATACATGAACTGTTTATAGTTAACATAATCAAGTTGCATTTGAATATCTCCATTTAAATACCAAATCCATACCAATCCAAAGTGAATGCAAAAACGCGTAAAAAAAAAAAAAAATTTATTAATACAATTTAGTCTAGTATTTATATACACTTGAACAAAGGTTAACCTAAGAAAGAATGCTAATACATATTTAGAATAAAATTTATAACTCAGAAAGTTAAAGAAATAGCACAAACCTTTAGTCGTTTAAAGGTGTTTCATTTTTCATTTTATAAAGGTGTGCAAAAGGCTCTTTTCGAATCAATATGCCATTACCAACTTAATGTGTGACTTTAATGCGTGAATTTCCATCGGAAAACCATCGACAATTCGGTGTACTCATTGAATTATTCATTCGGACAGACAAAGAGTAAACAGTTTCAGCTGTTGCACACATATGTAGCGCACTGTACGCTGGTGATTTACATGTTGGCCATTGTCTGGATGCAGCATTGAGCATTCAGAATCCAGCATCCATTATCCATTATCCAGCGTTCCATATCAATAATTGCAATCCAATGAAATGTCTGTGCCCCCGTGCTCCTTCCGTCTCTGTCTGACTCTGTATATCTCTGTCCCAGTCTGTTGGCTGGTCGTGACCCGAATGCAAATGGGATTATCTATCCATCTATCTATAGTATATATACACTGGAGGGTGCTCCATGGCCCCTTATCGCCGCCATCAGGCCGCACTTACCCATAATTGTTATTAATCCCGACCTGCCTTCCGCAGAAACGCCACTATGGCTGCTCCTCCAGGTGGCCCCCATCCGGAACGAACGCGACCTGGTGGTGCTCTTCCTGCTGACCTTCCGGGACATCACGGCCCTCAAGCAGCCCATCGACAGCGAGGACACCAAGGGAGGTAAGTGAATGCTCCATACTTGCCCACTATTACCCACATATGGACCACGGTTTGACTTTTTATCCCAGCTAAATCTGTTTAGGTGTTGCCAATCAATAAAGTAATGCATTTTTATTTTAGAGCCATCTTATTAACTGCTCATAAAAAGTATAGAACAATTGGTAGATAACTTCTTTATCAACCAATGACAATAATGGTCATCATTTTAAAGTTTAGTTAGTTTTAAAAATAATTTACGATATTATATTCTAAAGCTATCCCTTTCCAATCGAATAAAAAATATGGTGGACCTTCACTTCAATATATTTGTTACTTACAAAATAGTTCAAAACAAAAGCAAACTATTTCTATCTTTTTTTTTATATGAATACAAGCAAATTGAAACAACTTTTTATTTATTTATTTTTTTTTTTTTGAAGCTTAAAATTATTTCCAGCAACTGTGGTCCATATACATTTTTTGCACATATGTCTTCGTCTCTTTCAACCTTACTACTCTACTTATCTGCTCTCTCTTTCCATGTCTACACAACACACACACACAACCACACCCACACACAATTGCACCCACAATCACACCCACCTGTAAATACACTTGAACAAATTGAAAACCAACAAAACGAAACCCCAACCAAACGAAACAAAACAATACAAATCTAAAACCAATTCGATGTGCCAATACAACACGCTGTATATTTGTATATAAATACCACTCATATATTTGACTCCTTTGTGTTTATCCTTTTTGCGATGTTTACCAACTATTTTGATGCACTGTTTCTCGGTGTTTGTGTGCGTGTCCCTCCTCGTAGCGGTTAATCTATTTTTGCCAGTTTTAGGTCTCTCGAAGTTCGCCAAGTTGGCCCGATCGGTGACGCGAAGTCGCCAGTTCAGCGCCCATCTGCCCACGCTGAAGGATCCCACGAAGCAGTCCAACCTGGCGCATGTGAGTCCTTTATATCCCTGAATTAATCTATCTATATACCTCTAATACCCCCCTTTCAAACAGATGATGTCCCTGAGCGCGGATATCATGCCACAGTACCGACAGGAAGCCCCCAAAACGCCGCCACACATACTCCTGCATTATTGTGCATTTAAAGCCATTTGGGACTGGGTGATATTGTGTTTAACATTTTATACAGCCATCATGGTGAGTGAAATGCATTCACCTTAAGCCTTCACCTTGCAATTACCTTATTAGATTTATTAAAAGATCTTGCTTCTACACCCAAAAAAAGAAATTAATTTGGGGAATAATGACATAAAATATGAGCTTCATTCACAATTAACAAAATAAATGTCTGCACTTCTAAGCTCATAACTTTTCCTACAGACATCGGATTTCAAAGTGGCATACTTTAAAATGACTATGTTTTCATTCTCTGAAAAACTGTGTTTCCAGTTTTTTTTTTGTTTTTGGGTCGAATTTTCATTATTTTAAGCAATGTAACCCCTTTCCAAATTTTCGAAAAACGGCTTTGCAGAAAAGTGACCTAAGACCTGCACTTTTAAGTCCATAACTTTTCTAATTTAAGTCCGATTTGGAAGTGGCATACCTTTAAAGTCTTGTGGTTTAATTCTCTAAAAATCTGCATTCAAATTTTGTTTTGTAATTTTTTTCAGTATTTCGTCATTTTTAATGATGTTACCCCTTTCCAAATATTCGAAAAATGGTCTTGCAGAAAAGTGCCAAAAAACTGGACTTCTAAGCCCATAACTTTTCTTACAGACATCCGATTTCAAAGTGGCATACCTCAAAATGATCGTGGTTTGATTCCCTAAAAATCTGTGTTTTTAGTTAAATTTTTTTATTTGGGTCGATTTTTCGTCATTTTCAATGATGTTACCCCTTTCCAAATTTTCGAAAAATTGGTTTGCAGAAAAGTGACCTAAGACCTGCACTTTCAAGTCCGTATCCACTTCTTTATTTACTTTCTATATTAAAGTTACATTTTTACGTATTTGCATTCATAAGCCCCTGATTTGTTCAACCACCAATCATCCTGTCTGACAACGATTGTCTGGTTTTGGGGGACAGGTGTAGTGGGAAGGCTAAGGTTTTTAACCAAAATGGGCTTATCAAGGGAGATGGCGCTACCTTCTGCCGCAGCCACATCCACATTCAGCTTACTACAATGCCTTTTCATAAGCCGATGTCGTCTGTCTGCTCGAATTGTGTCTATTTCCGTGAACAAGATGTTAACATTTTCGCTCAAATTGCGCTCAGCATAAGTTGGTATCCGCACACATGTGGATTGGGGATCCTGAATGGGGTCCTTGGTGGGGTCCTAGATGGTGTCCTCCATACCACAGCTCAAATACTATGTATCTGAAAGAAAGTTGCAATTCCTTGTTGCGTACTTGTTTCGGTTTCCATGTTGCACACTTTTCGTTTACTTATTGTTTAATGACATTTTGCGGTATTAGTTGTTTGTCCCTGTGTGTTCATATATTTGGTTTTGCCTGTTTGTTGTCGTTCGGAATTGTGGCCGTCGCAACTTTGAGATAAATGTATAGCCAGCGACAAATCAAAACTTTGTCTGTGACCATACACCAGTACAAACTGCACACAAAAAAGCTACAAAGTTATGGGATGTTTTAGGCAGGTGGCCAAGGGCTGTATAGACACAAAAGTAAAAGTAAAATAACTAAAATCAAAGAAGAAATAAAGGAAATACAAATAACATTGATTTTAAACCAATAATGATTTCACAATAGCTATAAATTAAACTAGTTTTCCTAGATTTAAATAAATATATTAACTTGAAATATTCTTTTTATTTTAATAATTCAAATTTGGTTCGTCGTGTTAATTTAATTCCTAACGTAGCAAACATAAATGAATTTAGGTGCCATATTTTTAATATTACCAATAAAATAACCGTTTGGAAATTATAAGCCCGAAAAATAGTAAAGTAATAAGTATTAGATTTAAATTTGATTGAAAGTGTTCTTTCAAAAATTAATAAATAATTTTCCTTATTGTTGGAAAGGTAAATTAAACAATTTAGCTAAAGTTAAAAAATTATATTTTTGAAGGGTAAATTAACAACTAATAAGGGTTTGGGAAGGTATCAATACATTTCCCCTGGTCTCATCACTTTCACCTAATCAAGGCAAAGGTATGTGTGTACAGTAAGCGCCCGCTAAAACCTCTAATTAGGCAAATACCCTCGAATCGGATCGGAAAGGGCTCGAGCTCAAGTGAAGAGTTCAGATGAGGGCCCTCTGTCAGACATTAATGTTGTTTCCCAGTCAGACAAAGGGCGAGATGCTGGGTCGGCGATGGAGACAGACAAGTGCACACATTTACATGACCAAGTGGCTGCTCAGACGGCGAGTCCTTCCACCTCATTCTCATCCTCCTGCTCCTCCGGCTTATGTTTTATGTGCTTAAATTAATATGCTCAGTCGGCGGAGGAGAGACAGGGCTTGACAGGACATAAGCAGCGGCATTCGTGGCCTGTAATCCAACCTCAGACCGGGCCAAAACGAGGCACGTTAAGAGGCTTGTAACTGCCACTTGGGGCAACAGTTAAGACAACAGCAAATGGTTTGTGGGGGTGCGGCAATGGCAATCCCAACTGTTGCTTAGGTGATGGAAGTGGGGAGCCTCACCTGGAACACCTGAGAGATCATTCGTTTAACATAACTCTTGGCAGCCACTGTTTATTTCCCCAATGTTTTCTTTGTCAGTCAAAAAAAAAACATAGAAAAACACATACATTCACCTGACAGCCGAATGTTGCCTTGAAGTTGAAAATTATAATATATTTTTAGTTTTTTTCTGCTTGAAGTCTTATCTAGAATCTTGGGATTATGGGTCGTATGAGTAATTTTACGAAGACGTGGACGTCAGTACATTAATCATACGCCCTGATGTCATTTTTTATGAGGCTATATTTTCGGTCAAAAAAATTGCAACCCAATTTCTAGAAAATTATGATGCAAAAGTATTTGTTATAAAATAACTAATCAAAATTAAAGTAATACAAGTGCTTTTGTGTATAACTTCTACTTTTTTTACAGGTGCCATACAATGTAGCGTTTAAAAATAAAACCTCAGAGGATGTTTCCCTGCTCGTGGTCGATTCCATAGTCGACGTTATATTCTTTATAGATATTGGTGGGTAACCAAAACACATATACATACTCTCTTCTTTTAATCGATAACCTTTGCATATGTAGTTTTAAACTTCCATACAACGTTCGTGGGTCCTGGCGGCGAGGTGGTCAGCGACCCGAAGGTGATCCGGATGAACTACCTGAAGTCGTGGTTCATCATCGACCTGCTCAGCTGCCTGCCGTACGACGTGTTCAACGCGTTCGATCGTGACGAGGACGGCATCGGTTCGCTGTTCAGTGCCCTCAAGGTCGTCCGCCTGCTGCGGTTGGGCAGGGTGGTGCGGAAACTGGACCGCTACCTGGAGTACGGTGCGGCCATGCTGATCCTGCTGCTCTGCTTCTACATGCTGGTGGCCCACTGGCTGGCCTGCATTTGGTACTCGATCGGTCGCAGCGATGCGGACAATGGGGTAAGCCTGTTGTAAAGGAAATGGGGACTATTCAGGGATCATAGAATGATCAAACATTGAAAAAAGATGGGTTAAGTCATGGGTCCCCAAGAAATATTATCCATCTAAGCTTAAGTATCGTCCGTATATCATGTAATCATTAAAGAGATGACTTTTTAGTTTTGTTGTAAGAAAAAGTGAGTAAATGGTAGTTTAATTGATACTGCTGTAAACAGATTTGATTTTTTGTAAAAATAACTGATTATTACGTGTAAAACATACCTTTTAATATCAACTAATCCCTTACAGATCCAGTACAGTTGGCTATGGAAGCTGGCGAATGTCACCCAGTCGCCGTACTCGTATATATGGAGTAATGACACCGGGCCGGAATTGGTTAATGGGCCGTCACGGAAGAGCATGTACGTGACGGCCCTGTACTTCACCATGACCTGCATGACCTCGGTAAGTGTGTGTGTGTGTATGGAAGAGTGTATTATCTTTGGTGTAATCCAATTCCCGAACTAAACAAACCCTTGATTGTTCTCTTTCTATTTCCCAATTTGATTGTTCTCGTTTGTACAGGTGGGCTTTGGCAATGTCGCCGCGGAGACAGACAACGAGAAGGTGTTCACCATCTGCATGATGATCATTGCAGGTGCTGTGTCCTTAACACGTTCCGTTGCCGCGTCCAAGTTTCTTGATATTCCCGCACACGCGTCACGCTTTTGAATTCCGGTTCCGATCTATCGATTTCGATTCCGATTCCATTTGAAAGCTAGGCCATCCGCTTGCGCCGCTAGAACTAATAAATCGCTCCAGTTTTTGGTGTAGAGCCTCATTTCGATTCGTAGCCCATGTCCATTTGTCCAATGTCCTAGTAGAGCAACTCACTCGCATTCTCACATCGCCAATCATTGATTGATCGCAGCCAGAGTTAAGTCTCAAGTCTCTTTCTTCACCCTTCTTCTGCTCCGTCGTCATCTAGTTGCACAATTCGTCGCCATGTGTGAGTTGCATTGCGTATTCCTCTCTACTCGTTGTCCGTAACTTGTTACTCGTTATTCGTAAATCGGTAATCGTAACGCATGATCCGTAATAGTCACTCGTTAAACGAAACTCGTTACTCATTAAAAGTAACTCGTTGTTCATAACTCGTTAATAATATTTCGTTTCTGGTAACTTGTTACTTGTTATTCGTATCTGTAACTCGTTATATGTATCGCGAACCTTTTCTGCTGTACTGTTTTTCATGCCGAACAAAATCAGAAAAGAGTGTCTTTCGAACACTGCGCATGATCAGCACTTCCCCGAATCGGCCGGAAAAAAATGCCAAGGAAAAGCTGATCCTGCGCAGCATCTCGCTCATGTCACTCGCCATCTCGCTCCCACTCCTACCCATCCGAAATCCATCACTGTCTCTGTCTTACTGTGTGCTCGTCCAATCTGTGGCATTTATTACTGTTCTAGCCGCGCACCTGTGCGTCTCTTCTTCCACAGCGCGTAGTATCAGCGAACACCGATAACACACACCCTATAACTGTCTATTTCACACACATCACACGCACACTTCACGTACACGCAGAGAAAAAATATAGCCAGAAAGTTCTAAGTATTTTAAATTGTTTGATTTGAGGTTTTGATTTGAGTTATTGTACAATATGATTTTGTTAAAAAATATTTGCAAATGAAATTCTTAGATATGGTTATTTCTTCTCTGTGCACTCACACACACATCTCAAGTGTTATCTAGCTGATCGTGTAAAGTTTGCTTTAAATGGAAACCCCAATCTTCGAACTCCAACTCTGTGTGCACCGCCGCCGCTAAATCTGTCCGTCTCATCACCTTTATCTCTCTCTCTCTCTATCCAAAAACCCTAAACGATATAGCTCTGCTGTATGCCACGATCTTTGGCCACGTGACCACCATCATCCAGCAGATGACCTCGGCCACGGCCAAGTACCACGACATGCTGAACAATGTGCGCGAGTTCATGAAGCTGCACGAGGTGCCGAAGGCTCTCAGCGAGCGAGTGATGGACTATGTCGTCTCCACGTGGGCCATGACCAAAGGTCTGGACACCGAGAAGGTAAGTTCCCGACTCCGACCTTGCCCATGATATCCTGGGAGGCGAAACCGTCTGGATCCTTTTTGCGTTGCCAACCAGCTTCTTGCTTTCAGAATCGTTTCACATTTTCAGCCGGGCTACAATTGTTTTTAAAGATACATTCAATGAAACGTTGTTTTTAGCTTGAATAAGGAAACACGCAACCATCTATGTGTCTCATTTATCAATGCTTTTGTGTATAAAGTTAATGCGCAGGAACTGGCTTCCATTTGTACATAGCTGGCTTTTCTATAGAGCTTGGCTCACTTCAGCCTATCACTATCTCTAATGCACTCGGCATACGCACACGTACATGGCATACATTAAACTCTTAATTGCTACTCACTACTCACTACTCGCTACTCGTTACTCGTTACTCGATACTCAATTTTCCACTGTTTATCAATCGCTGTTGATTAGTTTCCAATCATTTTCATTTCTTTATAAACTGAGCTTATCTTTTTCTTTTGTGTTTTTTTACTACATCATTTTTGTGTTTCAATTAATTTCTCTTTTATTACAACTCATTCGGTAATACCGAGTTTCTCCTTCTTGTTTCTCATTGGTAATTTATTTATTTATCATTTCATACTAATTCTTTAGCCAATCGATTATCACTCTAATCACACCCGCTAGTTGTACAGCTTGGCACACACAGTTACACCACACATACCTCTAACTACAGACGAATCACACACCTCAAAACACCTGTACTATCTCTCTATCTCCTCCACTCTCCGACAAAAGAAATTTTGGTCGCTGCTTTCGCGCTTTGTTTTCCTATTGTTTTGAAGCTGCTAATTGCATCCCTAGGCCTAAGATCAAAACCAAAAACCGAAACCCCCGAAAAGCCCAATGTCAAACCCACCCACAGATCAAGGTCCAGGTGAAGAGTCCGAGGTAAGCTGTGGGTGGCTGAGAAACTGAAAACTAAAAAAAAAAAAAAAAATGCGGAATCACCTTACAAGCTCTATACATCTAACGAAACCATCTTTAACAGAACTCAGCTAACCGATGATCTATCTCTCCATTCTCTCCATGTGTTTGCCCGCGAGCGAGATCCGTGCCAAAACGAAAAGCGTCCGTCAAATTCATGCCTTTAGATGAACCTGAACCAAACGGCGCAACGTCCCCTAGATATCCATTAATCCAAAAATCCACTCCCCAAAAGACACCCAACTCAGGGGTCGTTTGCGCCTGAAATTTTAATGATACGATATATAAAACAGAAGTTTGGTTCACAGACAGAAACAGAGTTTACAGCCGGTCGTAGCCGAATAAACTGACCTTTATAACTATTTCGTTGACTGTAGTTTGTGCCGCAATTAGAGTCCCCACATCCCCGACCTTAAAACGCAAAAACAAATGGGGTGCTACTTCCATGAAAATCGGAAATAGCCCTCAACACACTCAAACATCCACACACACACACACACAGACAGTCACAGCCTCACACACACAATGGAAAACAGACAACACCCACACACTCTGACACTCGATCAATGTTGTATGTGTATTAGTGTATGTGTGCGTGTGTGTGCGTGTCCCGTTAGCCACTAGAGCTGAAGAATTCCGTCCAGAGGATCAGAAAATCTGGATGGAAAACCTCCGTGGTGGTCCGCAATTTTAAAAAAGTTCCCAATAGAAGAAGGCTTATCGATAATCCGATAGACCAAAAAGAATAAAGAATCCCCACCCAAACCCAAAAACCAATCTCGATCGCAATCGCTTCGATTCGATTCGCCTCGAATCGAAGCCTATCGAACCGCCACTCGCAACTCGTTCACAATTCGCAGGTACTAAACTATTGTCCGAAAGATATGAAGGCTGACATATGTGTTCATCTAAATCGCAAAGTATTTAACGAGCATCCGGCATTTCGTCTGGCCTCGGATGGTTGTCTCCGGGCACTGGCGATGCACTTCATGATGTCGCACTCGGCGCCGGGGGATCTGCTCTACCACACCGGCGAGAGCATCGATAGCCTCTGTTTCATTGTCACCGGCAGCCTGGAGGTGATACAGGACGACGAGGTTGTGGCAATATTGGGTGAGTTACCCGGATTACCGATTTGATTCGGACACACCCCCCTACCCTTGCCCCTCTAAAAGCCGCAGAACTATCCACTTCGATTATCGGTAGTACCAGGTAAAACGTCTGATTTGAAGAGTCTTTTGTGTAATAATCTATCCTTAATTCCTTTCAAGGTAACGATTACAATTACATCGATTATTTCGATAACCGATATAAGCAAATCTTCTTTACCATAATATTAATAAATCTTGGTATTCAATTAGAAAGTAATTAAGTGATTCGATAGTTAAATTATGTGATTATTAAAAATCGTATGTCAGCTTGAGTGTACATTTTGTACTAATATCTAAAGCAATCTTTAAGATAAACTTTTCAACCAAATAAGTCGAGAATGCGAAGTAAAAAAAGGTATCTGAAAGGTATCATATCCCAAAAAAAAAAACTATAAAATAAACTTAGTTTCTTAGGGGATATTTTTTGTTTATGAAAGTTGGCAAGGGAAAATCGTTAATGGCAAAAGTTCTGCGGCTCTCCATCGAGCCACACTCCACGCTGAGATACCATTTCTTTACAGGCAAGGGCGACGTCTTCGGCGATCAATTCTGGAAGGACTCGGCCGTTGGACAGAGCGCGGCCAATGTGCGCGCTCTGACCTATTGTGATTTGCATGCCATCAAACGTGATAAATTGCTCGAAGTCCTCGATTTCTATTCGGCATTTGCGAATAGCTTTGCACGCAATCTGGTGCTCACCTACAATCTCAGACATCGACTGATTTTTCGCAAGGTGGCCGATGTGAAGCGCGAAAAAGAATTGGCCGAACGGCGTAAGAACGAGCCGCAATTGCCCCAGAATCAGGACCATCTCGTCCGGAAGATCTTCTCCAAGTTCCGTCGCACTCCGCAGGTTCAGGCGGGCAGTAAGGAGCTCGTCGGCGGATCCGGCCAAAGTGATGTCGAGAAGGGCGACGGCGAGGTGGAGCGAACTAAGGTGAGTCCATGGGATTGGAATCTCCCCACATGGGGTATCTCTCTCGCTCTCTCTGTCTGTCTCTGTCTCTCTCTCTCTCTGTTGCTGTGCATTCTGCTTTCCGTGTTATACTATGTTCCATTTCAATGTTTCGTTGTTGTTATTTATTGTTACATTTCCATGTTTCGTTGTTGTGTTCATTGGGTAGTTCTATGTGCGTTTGATCTATATTCTATTGGGCTTGTGCGATAAGAAGTGGAGCTATAATTACGTATTAAGAGATGTGGTAAAGCGAATTCACAAAGTCATTTTAAGGTGATTAATTTTGGATAGTTTCCTTTAAAATACACAATCTGTCAAGACATGTACTCTCAATCAGAATCATTAAAGTAAAAGACTAATTTGAGGCCAAGCCATTAAAATGAACACTAAAAAGCTCTACCCTTTCTTTATGTTACCTCTATAGAAATGTTATTAAATCTTAATAATATTTTAAGCTTTTTCTTGTGGCAAAAGTAAATGATGACCTACTTGCCATTGCACAAGGAAGAGTGTTTATATTGTTATATATCTGAAAGAGACCTAAGAGTTATAAAGCAAAATATTACCTTATCGCACAATCGCAAATGGTATATTTTATCATTTTTGTTGCTGTTCAAAATATCTGTTCCTTTTTGCGTTGGCTCTAACTCACCACGGTTCGAACCCGTTCCGTTGCCATTCGTTTCCGCTGCATTGTTCACCGTTAACCGAACAACTAACGTTTCTTTCGAAGCCTCAGCCTCACAATCCACCACTCACAGCTCCAGCCAGAGTCCAAGCCCCAGGCGAACTGAAACACCCGGGCACTGAAACACGAACTACGGTGGGGCAACTGTTTACCGCCTACCGTTAACCGTTAACTGTTAACCATTTACAGTAGTTAATAACCGTTGTATTGCTTAACTAATGTTTTTTACTATCGAAGCGATGAACTGTATACAAAAGTGACTTATGCTCGTTGTATGTCTTTCTTTGTCTTTGTCTTTCTTTAACATGCTTTCGCATAATGCATATAACTTTTCACGACTCACACGATTCACCACAATCCACCCATGTTCACAAACCACCATCATGAAATCCACCATTGCACACCACTGATCGTTTCGCTTTGTACATACTCATCTTCTGCATTTGCCTTGATCTTTGATTCCTTGATTTATGTTGTGAATTTGGCTGAACTACAATTGAAATGAATTAAACAAAATTACTAACGGAAAATTCTGTATTATTTTTCCCCACACCCGAATCGAAATTCCCCCCAACCCTGCAACCCCCGCGCTTCTCCCAACCCTCAACCCCCCTCCACACACACATTTCTCTTCTTCTTCTCTCTCCCCCATTTCTTGATCGCAAAACGCCTGATAATGCTTGCTCGATAAATGATAATGCGCAAATGCCCACCACCCTGCCAAAAAAAAAAAAAAAAAAAAAAATCGACAACAAAATGAAACAACATATACAAGAAGCTACCAGCCAAACTGACACTGACCGAGGACGCACGCATCCTCAGCACCGCGGCGGCGCCCTCGCCATCGCCATCCCCATCGCCCTCATCGGGTCCACCATCTGCGCGCAGTACACGGGCCAGCAAGTGGGGACGCCTCCTGGGCAGTTCAAGCGTCGATTCAGCTAGCGACACCAGCGCCAAGGTAGCCGTCTCGAGAAGTTTGAGCGCCCGCGAAAGCCTCCGAGAGAGCACCGCCCAAGCGCGGCAGAGTAGTACTTCGAGTAGCAATGGTGGACAAGGCAACAAAGTAATTATACGCTTAATCAATCGGATTTGTTAACTGGGAACTGGGAACATCGCTCTGCGATCTGGGATCTAGGATCTACGATCCAGGATCGTTTGGCATTCAGCAAGACACCATATACTCCGAAACACAGGGACACACACACAAAACATTCGATTCGAAAGAAAATAAGAGGATGCAACTAAATTTCAACTCTTTTTTTGGTTTAATAGTGATTTTGATTTGATAGTGATATCCACTGACACGCAGTTCTGCTTTCGGTTTTATCAGGGTGCTACAAAAATGTCTACAGGTGGCTTTAAATGTGCTAGTGAATTCAGATGATAATGAAGAAATGCATGTCAGTTGGAACAAGCTAAATAACACATTGTACGTTTATATGCCTGCTACAAAAAAAAAAAAAACGTAAAGAAAAAATTATTACTACTTTCTTTTTGATCTATGAGTCTCTTTTTATGAAACAATAATATTTTGATACTAAACTATTGGACATTATTTAAAAATATAATTTTAAATTTAGAACCAAAATTTTATAGTGAAAAATTGAACCAAAAAAATGATTTACTTTTCAAGGCTCATATTTAAATAAATAGTTTTAAGGCCAAAGCAGGCTTATAATCGTGGCAGCATTCATAACAAAATTATACCAAAACAGACATGTACCGAATAATGCAAAAATGCATGTTTGTTGGGTTTCCATCTTAATGATAACTCTGTCTCTCTTTTTTTTGCCTTTCGTTTGCTCTTCTCACTTCCGATTCCGTGACCGATATTGTTATCGATTCTGAATGCGGTTACTCGATCATTTTGCGTTCATTTTCTCAATTATCATTTCGTATTTCCATTTTGACAATTGTGCAATCGAATTGAATAGCATTTACAATTAAGCAAAGTAAGTGTACGAACAATTAGTTTGTCTAACCGCTATATTAGTTGGCTGTCCCACTCTGGCACACGATACACTGTTATCGGTTTTGACTATCGATCGGTGAATGGGCGGGCACAAATATATTGGTAATCGTTATAATTGTAGTCATCGATCGATCACTTATTGTGAATCCATATTTAGGAGCTTGCAAATCCATACGATTATTAATTCGTGCCCGCCCAACGCCACAATATAAAACCCCTGCACCACGCCCACCGCCCTAAAAAATAACACCCAGCAAACTGCCTTTAGAATGTTAATATTGCAATGATCCCCAAACCAAATTGATATGTTTTTTCGATTTTTTCCGTTTATCGTTGACTTTTCTCTCTATCTCTCAACAATCAAAAAAATCGAATTTGAAATAATGAAATTGCCTGCCTTGCTACAACAACTCGAAATTGATTTCGAATTGGAAAAACCACAACTGTAACTTTAAAATATAAACAAATTGGAATAAATTCAATGCACTGCACTCTGCCAACAACCTGCAAACCTGCAACTGCAACTGCAACTCCAACAACAACCGCAATGAATGCCTCGACAATAAATGAACCAACCAACAAAAATCAATCAAACAATCAATCAATCAACCAACAATCAATCCACCAAACTGATAACCCTAATTCCGAAACCGAAAAAAACCAACTCAAAACACAATTTTTCTCACTTTTCTCCCTGCCAACAACCATCCAACCAACCAACAACAATAAAAACATGCAACATGCAACATGCAACAACCCGCCACCCGCCTGTCTATCCCGCATTCGCATCCGCATCGTCCATTGTTCCATTAAACGTCACCTCCAGGTTTTTCCCAAGGCGCCCAAGCTGCAGGCTAGCCAGGCGACCTTGGCCCGCCAGGACACCATCGACGAGGGCGGCGAGGTGGACTCCTCGCCTCCCAGCCGCGACAGCCGCGTGGTCATCGAGGGTGCAGCCGGAGCAGGAGCAGGATCAGGAGCAGGACCTGGAGTCGGAGCAGGAGGAGCCTCATCCGCCGGAGCACCACCGGTGGCCACCACTTCCTCGGCAGCTGCGGCGGCGGCAGGAGCAGGAGCACCAGGAGGCGGCACTGTTGTCGCCATCGTCACCAAGGCGGATCGCAATCTGGCCCTGGAGCGCGAACGCCAGATCGAGATGGCCAGCTCCAGGGCGACCACGTCGGACACCTACGACACTGGGCTGCGCGAGACGCCGCCCACGCTGGCGCAGCGCGATCTCATCGCCACCGTGCTGGACATGAAGGTGGATGTGCGGCTGGAGCTGCAGCGGATGCAGCAGCGCATTGGCCGCATTGAGGATCTGCTGGGTGAGCTGGTCAAGCGACTGGCACCTGTGGCCGCTCCTCCCGATAACAACAGTGGCCAGACGACGCCCGGCGACGAGATCTGCGCGGGCTGCGGCGCGGGCGGTGCCGGCACGCCCACAGCATCGACCGCGGCCCCGCCCCCGCCCCCATCCGTATCGGTGGTGACCAGTCCAGTGGACACTGTGATAACCATTTCATCGCCAGGTGGTGGAGGTGGAGGTGGAGGAGGTCCTGGTACTGGCGCTGGTGGCGCTGGTGGTCTGCTAAATCCGGGCGCCCCAGTTGTGTCGAGCGCGGGAGGCAACGGCCTGGGGCCGCTGATGCTCAAGAAGCGACGCTCGAAGAGCAGGAAAGCACCGGCGCCTCCTAAGCAGACACTCGCCTCGACGGCCGGCACCGCGACCGCGACCGCAGCTCCCACGGGCGCCTCCGGATCTGGCACGCCAGCGTCATCGTCGGCGGATCAGCAGGCGGACCAGCCATCGCCGAGCACACCGGGTGCGGAGCTACTGCATCTGCGTCTGCTCGAGGAGGACTTCACGGCGGCCCAGTTGCCATCGACATCGGGAGGAGGTGGAGGAGGTGGAGGTGGTGAAAGAGGAGGAGCTGGATCCGGGGCAGGTGCCACGCCCACAACACCGCCACCGCCCTCGACGGCGGGCAGCGGCAGTGGCACGCCCACCACCACCACTACCACTACGCCAACGGGAAGTACGCGGGGCAAGCAGGACTTTCTCTAGCCCACGATACCGGAGCAAATGGAGGAGGCATCCGGCCAGGAGCATTAATACAAAACAATTGGGGGAAGGGGAGGGGGGGGAGTAGGGGCCCAGCCACGCCCACTCGCAAGCCTACGCCTACGCTTAGTTAGTCTATATATTTAAGATACAGCTGTAACCTCAACTCAACTCTAAAGCTAACTCATGTATCTCAAACACTTCGGAATCCACTGCAACGTATTTATCCGAAACATTCAAAAGACTTCAACACAAATTTTTTTTATTTTTAAATATTATTATATTTTAAATCATGGTATTATATTATATTTTAAGTCGTAAACTTTTGACTGCAATTTTGTACTCCAAAATTGTATAAATTGATTTTAAAATACTCCTCTTCAAATCAAAAAATATATTTATTTTACTGATACCGATATTTAAATTAATTACTCACTATTAGTCGTTAATTTTGGAAAACTATTGGTTATTTAAAAGTGAATAGTTTTCCTTGATTTGTTTTCAATTCTGTACAAAATATTTAAAACAAAAGGTTTTATACATAAGTTGCATTCAAAAATATTTAAGCATTGTAAGGATAAATATTTTGTAGTGGAGCTTTGGATGAAAAACTTTCTTTTTCGCTACACAAATTTCTACCTAATGCTATCCCTCTCTCACACCCACACAAACACACAAAAACACACACACATACACAAAAACACACACTCTGAATGGAAGTGCTCGATACTCGATATTCGATACTCTTTAACCGTTACATGATTATGATTATGATTATGATAGCGTTAGCCATAAGGATAACGATTACGATTAAGGCAAGCATATTGCTTACGAATTTGCTACATTTACTGCAATTATTTACCTTTACATATATATATGTATATATATATACAAAAAGAAACGTTGTAAAGGACATACACACACAGATACACTCACACACACACTCAGATATAGCTGTATGTATATATGGATAATTTTGTGATAACTGCTAAAGGAGGCAAAAAACCAGATGAAAAATGCTTACAGACCGAAACAATGCCCGTGAATTGTACATAGCCTAAAACCTAACTTTAGATAAGGATCCACAGGGATCCCCACACAGATACACACACACACACACATAGCGAAACTTTTGGGAGATACATATGTAATGAAACCGAAAATGTACATATAAAGACACAGAGATATGTATATGAATGTATGGATATAACCCGTCCTAACTAACTAACTTAACGAAACTCGGCTTGAGCACTCAGGCACTCGCACTCGCTTGGCTCCCTATTCTAGGCCTATAGACTCAAAAACTCAACTCAACCAAATAGTTAACTCAGCAAGAGTAAAGCTTAAGCAAAAAACAGATAAAAAAAACAAAATAAAAAATATAGACAGCAGAAATGTGGCCGCTAAACGAAACGACAATCGACAGACCTAAGAAACTAAAGAAAAAAAAAGAAAAAAAAAAACAAATAGCAAATCTCTAGTTAAATGCAAGGATCAAATATGATTTCTTTGGGCATTGTAAATAGTTGAATAAAAATTTAGCAAAATATGTTACCACCACCCACACACACACACACACACACACACACACCTACACACATGTTTTGTGATAAAAATTAGCTAAAGAGAAAACCAATTTGAAAAGTTTAGACAAAAAATTAACCTAGATATTTGTTTATGCTGACATTTGATAGGCTTGCACTTGGCATACATATGTGTATGCTATAGACTCCAAAATTAGGAGGAGCAGAACCGAACCGAAAACTCTTCAGATCGCGATATATAGTATGTTCAAGTGGGGGGAGTACGAGGAGTACGAGGAGTACGAGTATCCTGGACAGTTTAGAGGCAAGGTTTCATTACGTTTAAGTCGCCAGAGACATAGCATCAGTTGGACTCCACTTGAATCTCGTTCGGTTACCATCGTTTTGATTCCCTAGTTGATATTTGATAATTAATATTTGTAATTTGTAATTTGTAATTTGATATTTGATACTTATGAATACCTAGCGTAGAATGGCGGCAGAGCCCGTGCCCCGGTAATACGACTACGACTACAAATATATACGAACTGTCTTCCCAGTATAGTTGTGGGAATTAGGGGGTTCGGGTCTGTTCCCGAAAGTTACTTAGTTCTAGTTGTAGATTTTTTCGATTCCCATTCCCCAAAGGGGCGATAGTCCCTTCCCATCGTTAAAACAAAAGCAATTCAAGTGGTATTAAAATTGAGTAACCAACACTCATTCACTCACTAACTCAGTCAGTCAGTCAGTCAGTCACACTCCTCTATATATACGTATTTCCAATACTCAACAAAGAATCAAAAGTTAAAGCATAGCGATGAATACATTTGTTGCATACGTTTAGATCTTAAGTTATAGTTGAAAGTTTAACGAATGTAGCGGGCTCACTGTACATAGGTTTTTTTTTATAACTATAAATCAAATATACCTAAACATAAATATATATAACTAATTCATAACGATTAGGCAGCAGCAACCAACTGAATAAGAAAAGCTAAGACGCACTAGGCCGGATGGATGGGAAACGATAAGACGGAGATTTACCGATAGTCCTCATATGAAGATACGATAGCACTGATACGATAGCAGCTTAGTACTCGTATTGTTTGACCCTCTTCCCCACTCTATCTCTATCTCTATCTGTATCTCTAACTCAATCTATCTCGCTTTCGCCCCCATCCTTTGTATTCTTTTCGGGTGTTTTAGACCTAAACTACACAGAGCCTTATAAATATAACCTAAAGTAACTAAACCAACTCAAGCAGCATTCAGCAAACTAGCAACTCAGACCTAATACAAAAACCTAGCATTAGCATTAAAAACGTGAAACTAAAAATGGTGCAATTACAATTTTTAGATCAAGCTGAGCGAGCAGTTTAGTCGAAATTTATATTAAACAATTTATGGGATGAATAGCGAATCTCATGTATATACACGCAGATGGATAAAACAATGAAAAAACCGTGGATGAAAACCCCTATCTCGAATCCCAGAATTGAATTCAACTCACAGTCATGATATTCTGGCATTCAATTTCACCTTGAAATCGCCCGATTCAGTCTGATATTTATATATATGTATGTAGATAGCCAGATGGTAGGCTGCTGAGGGTCGGTTGGGGTCAGTCTGCTGGGACATTCGCTGAGAGGCGCCAAAGAAACTGATTAAGCCATATAATTATTATAGATATGTACATGTATATATGTGTACCTCTAGTTACACCTAGAACGATAATGATAACGAGAACAACCTATCAAAATTAAGCTTTTATACGCCAGAATTTTTTTCTAAACAACTAAAATGAAGAAAGTAAACTAAAGAAACACTCAAGAATATACACAATTAATGCAAGGCAGAGAAGAGAGCTAAATTAACTCACAAACACTCAATTAACGAATACCGTTTAAAACGCCCCAAGTGAAAACAAAATTAATTTAACTATACATTATACAATGATAGAAAAAGCCTTAACCAAGTAAACACGCGCCTCATTTTCGTTTTTTCCATTTATTACGTAAGTCCCACAGCAATGCTACAAAAAAAAGAAAAAAAAGCAAAAATACTACGGCTAAACCAAAACATACTAAAGATACTGAAAATACCAAACCAAAATATTTAGCATTATGCTCTAGACTCTAGACGAAAAAGAACCAAAATTTTACAACAACAAGATGAAACAAGAACAAACGCGATTAAGCAATGTTAAACATTTTCCACCAATTTGAGAAGCATAGTTGCTTAAATAACAAACAAGAAATACCTAAAAAAGAAAAACCAAAAAAAAAACTGAAACTTATTTCGTACACGCGCCCTTTGTTTTTAAAAATCGAAAAGCTGCCTATTTATATATTTACAAACAAACAAAAAGAAACGAATTGAAAGGAAAGTGAATTACCAATTAACTACAAAATTAACAAGCCACAAAAATACTACATATTGCAATTGCAACATTCCAAGTAAAGAAAATACCAAAATAATACGAGCATGTATAAATAGTTTGAAATCAATTGAGTTTTGGGCTCCACAACGCCGAAAACTTAGAGACATCAAGCCACGGCTTTGCTGAGCAGATTTACAGTTATATACATACACCACATACATATATATATATACTTATATATATATATATATACACAATACATATATATACCGATATATGTATATATAGGTAGTTTATACCATTTGAAGCTTGCTAGGACTCGTCCTTGGGCCACTGATTAAATGCCAGGAGACAAGCCGCGAAATCGAAAACAGAAATAGTTGTAACATTTATTTGAGAATCGCTGGATTAATGCCTACAGTTAATGTGTATAGTTACTTGAATATTGCCGCATTCGACCCACACTTACATTACACACACGAACACCAGACAGGCTATACGCCCATTAGTATCTCTGGGGTTTGAAAAGCGGATCGTGCGAAATAGGGAGTTCCCAAACTAAGAACGCGGCGAGGCAAAGAAAGTACATTTTCAGAACCGCAAAAAGCGCAGAACAGAAGCTAAGACACAATAAATGAAAGAAACAAAGAAATGAGAAATACATACATAAATGTTTTTAAAAAATATTTTACAATCTTTAGATTTCTTTGGTGGGAGGAGAACTTAAATCAAACATGGTAAGTATCTATCACTTAAAAGCTCGTTAAGATTAAAAAACATTGTTTTTAAATCACATTTTGAGATGACTTGAATTTCGAATAGGGGAGTGAGTAGCGTTATTTGTTTTATTTTAAAATCATCAATACTTACTGTATCTAAATCATCCAATATTAAAAAGTAGTCGCAAATTTACATTAAGAATTGATTTTTATTGCATCCTTCCGCTCGTCGCATTCATAATAAATATATATAATTTAGTTATTTGCAATATATATATAAATGTAGCATAATGTGCCTTTTGCTGGAGTGAGGGTGAGGGTGAGGAGGAGGAGGAGGGTGAGGGGGTGGCAGGAGGAGGTTATGGAGGTCAGAGGTCAGGGAGCTGAAGGATTATGTACACACTTCTCGCGCTCTCTCCCGCACTCGCTCTCTCTCGCTCGACTCCGAATTGTACATTAAATAAATAGTGAGTTTTTTTTTGATCATTGAATTGGGAGATTCGTCTCGATTCGAGTGTTACAAAATAATATTGCCTGGGGGGAAAAATATGCTATACGCTATTTGCTATTTGCTAATCTATAATCCAATATCCATCGTTCAAATATCAGCTATCCTAGAAAATATCTATCCGTTTCCGTATTCCATTCCGATGTGTGAATTAATGTCTAGAGGAGTGAAAGAACGATCCTTTCATGGGGACTAGTTTTTGGTTTTTTTCTGTTGGGGCTTTTTAATCTCTACAAATATGTCCGCGAGTCGTCCGACCGTGAGAACATGTCTAGCCACATGTTCGGCGCCAACTCCACGTCGTCGTCGTCGTCATCATCATCGTCGTCATCCGATTCCGGATGCGTTGCCCACTTGTCAGCGGGTCGTGTCCATGTGTCTGGCTAAAATGTCTGGGCATTGCGGCAGACGCCGCATCCCAGGGCGAACTCCTCGCCGGTGGGCGGATGCATCACGTGCAGCGGGCACTCGTCGCCCAGCAGCTGTTTGGCCTTCGGTCCGGCCGGACACTGCGGCAGCTTGACCTTCGGTATGTTGGTCAGTCGCTGGAAGTCGTCGTGGCAGGTGTCGCAGAAGTGCGTCGTCCCGAAGCAGAAGAACACCGCCACCGAGCAGCAGTAGCGGCACTTGTACTCCAGGAAATCGGTGCCGTGCTTGGGGCACATCTGTGCCCTGGCCACATCCGAGCATCCGCCGCAGACCAGCTCCTCCGGATCGAACTTCTCGCCAATCTCCGCATCGCAGCGTGCCTCGCCGCCGTAGTACGCCTTCTGGCACTTGAAGCACACGTAGTAGGCATACCGGTCCATCGCCAGCTGGGTCATGTTCACGTCCTTACTGTCCGTGTCCTTGACCACGCCCTCGTACTTGATCCTGCAAAGGAGCAAAGGGATTGGTTTGTTATCAGGATCACTTTTCGGAGCACACAACTTTCAGGCATCCAAATAAAAGAGATTTACAATTTGGCTCACTCACACACTTAAATTAAAAAAAAATAAGAAAAAACATGCATCTAGTTCTTTCAAAATCACACTCTTAACAAACAACACAAAAGTACCTTTCGGGGAATATTTTAATTAAAAAGCGTATCTTAATAAAACCCTGAATTGGCTTGAAAAGTATGGATATGATATAATATATAATTAACTTAGATTATTTTCTAAGGTTTTATTGCCTAAGGCTCACAACTTTAAAAAAGATTCCCCCCTTTTAATGTTTTAACAAGATTTAATAGTGTTGTATAAGGATAAGTAATAATAATTGTATAAAGAATGCTAACCCTATTAGCATTTAACCAATCTAAATATTAAAAAATAAATCATAAAACTGTACAAAGGCGTTTAGAAAATAATAAAATGACGAGGCTTTTAAGAAAAAAAAAACCAAATTAAATCCCCTTTTTTGTTCCCTATCGTATACTTTTGCAATCGCTTACCGCATGAGGGCCTTGCGCTTGACGTCCTGCTTGAGTCCGTTGATCGGCTCCAGGATGTCTGCCAGCAAGGGATGCTGGATATCCGCCTTGCAGATGGGACAGAGGGAAAATCCAAAGGTGATTCGCGGTCCACTCCAACGCTTCTCCAACACCGCCTTGCAGCAATGGTGGTGGAACACATGGCCGCACTCCAGCTGCGAAAGTCATATACATTATTAGAGGTGATCTCTAAAGGCAAGCTAAGCGAATCTTACATGGATAGAGGGAGCACAGGATACCGCCTCCACGAAGCAGATCATGCACATGTCGTCCGCATCCTGCGTGAGCTTCGGATCCCTCAGCTCCTCGGCCAGCTCGTTCTCGCGCGTGTGGCACACATGCTGCAGGCAGGGGAGGCACTTCCGCTCGCCCGTGACTCCGCCACACGCATGGCCACACGGCTTGGTCTTCAGGCACGAGTTGGCCGCATACTCCTGGCACTGGGCATCCGCGCACACGTTGCCGATCTCCAGCAGGCCGGAGTTGCCGGTGAGGCCGCAGAAGCGACACCTGCCCACCGTCTCCTGGGGACCCGAGATGATCGTATGGCTGCCGTCGCGGAACTCCACCATGGCCTTCAGTGTTTTGGAATCGGCCAGGGCCAGCAGCCAGAAGAGTTTGGTGCGGCCGCAGGATTCGTGTAGCTCCACGCGGATGGCCTCCTCCTCTTCCTTGCAAACCTATTGCATAAAATGGAACATATGTAAGATAAGGAAATACATATATTTGTGGGACATCATCAGACAACTCACCGTTCGCTTGTGGGAGCGAGTCTTGCGGTTCAGATGCAGGAAGCGATCGCAGTCGCCGCAGAGGGATCCGCAGGTCTCGCACTGGATGATGGCCGCCGTTTCGCCATCGTCGTGGTTGCTGCACAAGGGACGCGTGTCGCACAACTTGGACCACTGGCCGGAGGAGAGCTTCTCCACATGGTCGCGCTCCAGGACACACAGACTGGCCAATGCCAGCCACAAGGTTGAGGTCTTGGTGCAGTGCTCCGGCGAGCGGTAGATCTCCTCCAGTCGGGTCAGATTCAGTACGGATTCGGCAATGGCCGCCTTCGTAATCTGTGACCACTTCTCGCTGAGTTTACCCTGTGGAGTTATACCTCAATTAGTAAAAAGTAAAAACCGTTTTTTTAAATCTAGGATTCACTTACGCTGGCCAAATCCCTTATGAGACCGATTATGCTCTCCGCCTGCTTGGTGGAGATGACTCCGTTGAGGAACCACCGCTGGTTGAGATTCCGCTTGGACTCCTTTCTCGGCGGCAGGGCCTCAAACTGGAAGGGATCAGCTCCTCCCGGCTCGCCGGTGGGCGGTCGTGATCTCAGCTGCTGCACGGAGAGATCCAGCGAGCTGCAGAGTCGCACAAAGGCCGGGGTCTTCTCCTGCTGACCCGCCTTCAGGGCAGCTCCTCCACCACCACTCGAGGATCCGCCTCCTCCAGAACCTGACCCAGATCCAGTTCCTGATCCCGATCCCGATCCAGTGCCTCCAGCCGAGGCAGCTGTTGTTTTCACCTTAACCTGCAACTGCAGGGACTTGGCAATCACGGCCAGGAATATATCCAGCAGACCCAGCCGACTCATATCGAAATCACTGGCTGTCTGATGAGCAATGCTATAATCCGCCGGTGGCAATCGCTGCACTCCCAGTAGTTCGGCAAAGCTCTCAGGCGATATTTCTGGGAGGATTCGACGCAACAGAGCCGTCACCTGTCGCTGCACGCGATCACTGCCGGTGTGCAGGAGTCCCAGGAGATCCCGGAGCAGTCCGTGCTGCTGGGAGAGGTACGAGCGACCCACCACGCTGCCGGACAGGGCCAAGACCATGCTGAGCATCTCGAAGCAGTAGGTGTCCGGTGCCCGGCTCCTCTCCGGGGAACTCTCACTGCTGCCGGAGGCACTCGCGGCGGTGGCTGGCAGGGATTGCAGCTGTGGCGGCTGCTTTAGGACATGGGCCAGGTTGGCCAGCTCCCAATCCTCCTTGGCCCGCTGCGCCTCTTTGCGAATGGCATGGACGATGTGCACGATAACCTGCTTCTGCAGGTGCGACAATTTGCTCCGCGAGAACAGTATGCCCACCATGTGCTCCCTGAGGTCCAGGGAATCGGCCAATAGCGAGGTACTCGCTGCTCCACTGCTCGGTGGCCCAATGCCCGCCGAGTCCGGTGGCACCAAGTCCGAGCCCACGTTGCTGATTAGTTTGCCAAACACCTGACCGGTGATCAAACGGAAAACCCTCAGGGTTTCCGCCTCACAAATCTGCTGTTGGATGCGCGAGGCGTGACTCAAGCGCAGGTGGGGCTGCTGGTGCTGATGCTGGTGCTTGTGATCGGAGGGATCCTCCTGGCCCACCGATCCTCCCGTGGGCCAACCGAGCAACTTGATCTGGCGCACCCGCAGCGTGTTCTCCGGTCCATGCAGCTCCAGCCGGAAGTGGGTGCAGCTGTCATCGCAGATCTTCGCCGAGATCCAGGAACAGGCCTTCGGGTCCACGTCCGCCGATTTTATTACATTCGTGTCGCCCAGCGACTGGCCGGCATAGAACACCACGTTAAGCACCTTGTTCTGAAACGAAAATGGGATAAAATTAATCAGGTTTGAAAAATAAGTGCTGTTAGCTAATGCCAATTGATTTGAAATTTTTTTTTCATTTTAAAGATTTCAATGAATTGTCTAAGAGTCTTCCTAATATAAAGATACAAAATCTATAAAGATTTATAAATCATTTAAAGTCACTTATATTAAATGCAAGTGATACAAGGCAATGGGTAATTATTTTAAATCAATTGATCTGTTTGTTTGGATGTTGTAGCAACCAGAGCAGTGATCTTCTGGATTGGCAGACTCACCTGAATGTCTCGACTATTGTCGATGTGCACGAGGAGATAGCGACAGGCGTAGTTCAACTTGGTCAGGGACAACTCGATGATCTTGCACTTGTTGCGATCCTCCTCGTCGCTCTCCCAGAAGGTTTCCGTTGAGTTGTCCGTCAGGGATTCGGCCATGGCCGGACGCGAGGATACGGTGACCTCGAACATGCCAGCCAGATCCGTATAGCAGAGGAGCCGGGCTCCTGCTCCAGATCCGCCATTCGCAACGGGATGCACCTGATTGTGCTCCGCATCGCAGTCGGGCTTGAGGATCATCGAAACGGCCATGGCGTCGTTCTGCTCATCCGACTTGGACAGTATCTTCGAGATGTTCCCAAACACATGCGAGCTGTGGAGGAACTGGTGGTCCGCCTGGCGGAAACGGATGCCAAAGCACTGGATGGCCACCCGCTGCAATGGCGAACCGGGTGGCAAATGCAGCGTGAGATCGGCCACCGACTGGAGCAGGACGTGCAGGGACTGGGTGATGAGATGGGCGAATCGGCCACTGATCTGGGTGTAGGCCACCGGGTGTTCCAGTGCCGGCTCCGAGGCCTCCTCGCCCCTGCCCTCCGGCGGATGGTGACCACCAGTGGCGGTCAGTGAGCTGACGAACCACCACATCAGATCATGCAGGCACACGCCCTGGGTGACGCCCCTCAGGAGCCAGTTTAGTGCCTGCAGCGCATAAATCCTGCAGGCCGCAATCCTCAAACTCCTCCTCATGGCCGCCCTCAGCCTGTCCAGCTCGTGTTTCTGGGTGATGAAGGCCATGGCCGGACGGGTGAGCAGTAGGCTACCTCCTCCATTTTGTCCCGCCGACTGATCGAATCCCAGCGTCCCGGTTGAATGATCCTTGCTGGTTCCTTCGCCGCCGCCGGCAGATGACTGCATAACGGACACACTGGCCAGCAGCTTGTGCGGCACCAGGCGACGCAGATGCTCCGAGGGATAGCAGATCAGCAGGGATCCGTCGCCCTCGCTGGTGGAATTGTTTCGCCGCCTGTACACCACCTTGGGCTGACCAACCTCCGCTGCTGGCGGCTGCTGGTGTTGCTGCAGCTGCAGGTGCAACTGTTGCTGCTGCTGGTGGAGCTGCTGCTGCGGATGGTTGTGCTGCTGCGGGTGGTTGTGTTGCGCCAATGCCGCCCAGCCCTGACCCATCGAATAGCTGCGGTGGAACTTGGAGAGATTGCCACCAGGAGCTCCGCCACCGCCGGCCGTGGATCCGGGCGCCAAGGAGCCGGATAGCAGATCGTAGTTGTTGGGTTCGCACGACTCATACGAGATCTCCGACAGCGGCTGTTGGTTAAATGCAATACCATTAGACTCAGATAGCTTTGCATAACGAGAGTTGCGCTACTCACCCTATCGTATCCATTGTCGTTCGAGTTGGGCCCCAGTCCAAACATCTCGTAGGGCAGATCCTCGTGTCCCGCAGTGCCCAGGCACTCCAGGCAGGCGAATCCCTCCGGCGCCAGCCACACGTTCTCCGGAGCAGCCGGCGGTCCGCCCACGAAGCTTTTGCGGAACGCTCCGCTACCCACTCCCGGACAGAACTTGGAGCCACTCAGGCGGGCCATCCGGCTGCAGCGACTGGTGCTCGGCTTGAGGTCCGAGTTGCCCAGCTGGTGTTCGATCACCACGGGCATGGCCACCACGGACATCTGCTGCGGCGACCGCTTGGGATTGGAGCTGCTGCTGCTGCTAGCGGCGGCGGCCAAGCTGCCGGCCACTCCAGATGCAGAGCTCGAACTCGAGCAGAGCTCCAGCAGGAACGTGGCGTTCTCCCGCATCGTGGTGTACACCTCGGCATTGGCTATCAATGTGGTCGACTTAACGCCAAACAAATTCAGTTCGTTGCCTGGAATTGGATAAAGAGTATATTATAGTTCATATAAGGCCGAAATTCTTAATTCGTTAGACATTGTCTTCATTTTTTTTAGGAGCATTTACTTAAAATTATCTAAAGGTTTATATGAAAGTAAAAAAGTAACACCGCTAGGTTCTATCGCTCATACTCTTAATTCTTATACAATTTTACAAAACCATTTGCTCGGAAAAGAAGAATATGTCATATATGATATAGTCGTCTGAATTTTATAAAATTGTTGATTTTTTACCTTATATATTGAAAAACAACAAAGTTCAAATGTTTGTATTTGATTTTGTATTGGATTTTTAGCGAGCTGAATGTAATTATGTTTATTTACTTTTATTTTTTGATTATTGTTATGGAAGCTATATGAATTAGTCGTTCGATCCGGTCCGCTCCGACTTATTTACTGTTGGCAATATAAAGAAGACTTTGGGAAATGCTTTATTCAGATAGCTCTCAAACTGGGAAACTACTTTGCATAAAAACAGACGAACTTATTTAAAGACGGACAAACGAACGGACAAATGGAAAGACGGACAAACGAACGGACAAATGGAAATACGGACAAACGGGTAAAGTAAAAAAGGACTTTAAAAAAGGAGGACAATATCACCTTTTCTGCGTTACAAACTGTTGATTGAAAATATTATATAATACGCTCCGCAAAGGTATAAACATACACTCTTTCGGTACTTTTAAAACATTTTTCTTTTCCGAGTGCACAAACTCACCTTCGGCGGCACTGGACTCCAGTTGCCGGGCGGCACTGTTGATGTTGTTGGCGCTGCGACAGGAGGCGAGATACCGGTCCCGGCAGGGATCGCACATGAGGAACCAGGACGAAGCACCCTTGCCGCCCTCGCCGCAGTTGCCCGCCCATCCCTCGCAGAATATTCCCACGGAGTTGTAGCCCTTGCCCTTGGCCGATTTCCCACAGCCCGGATGGGCGATCCGCATGTGGTAGGTCACGGGCATGGGCAGGAAGAGTTCGCAGATCTCGCACCAGCTGCCATCGTCCTTCTTCTTGCGCTTGCACTTCCTGCCCAGATCCTTCTCTCCAGCGGATCCCTGGTCGGAGCACTTGCCATCCTTGCCCTCGGTGTCGGCATCTCCGTTCAGGTCGCGACTCCCTGGCGACAGCAGTCGCGGTTCCCGCTGCTCCAGTGCATTCGACTGGACAATCTGCACGCAGCCGGAGCAGATCTGCTCCCACAAATAGACCAGACATCGCAGAGCTGGCGGCAACACGCTCACCATCTCTGGCAGCGCCTGCAGCTTCTGGGCCTGATCCTCGCCAGGATTGGCCACTCCACCGCTGAGCAGATTCTTGCGGTACTTGCTGCGATTGTGCAGCGAACAGTTGCCGCTCTTGGTGAGCGTTTCCAGCGTGGAGGGTCGGATGTTCAGGTAGTTGCCCGCATTGGCCACCTCCACGGAGTGCCGCTGCTGGGCCTTCTGCTCCCGCGATAGCTTCAGCTTGGGATCGCCGGCCTCGCCGCGACGCGTCACCACCGTGGCGCCCTCCTTGGGCAGACCGGGATGGAACTTGAGGAAGCTGGCGCAGGCCATGGCATCGTGGACGACTCCCTCGTGCCACAGCAGGGCGGCGAACACCGCCCGGATGCTCTCGGCAAACGAGGGCGGAATGGCCCGCTTGATGGGACCCATGGTGTGGCGCTTGGACGCCGAGGCGGCGGATGTGGTGGCCAGCTGCAGCTCGCTCTGCTGCTCCCCCTGGCCCGTGGTCGTGGTGGTGATCTGCAGCAGACTGAGGTCATCCTCCAGACCACTCGTCTCCGCCGGCAGCTGCGATTGGGCGCTTCGCTTGGGCGTGTGCTTTGGAGTGGAGAGCAGCGCTGCCGTTTGACTGGCCGAGTAGTTGGGTCGCCGCATGCTGGCCAGGCTGAACTCCGGCTCCTGATCCTGCGCAGCCTGTGATTGCGAGCTGCGATTGCCATTGCCGCGCGGCGACGAGTCCTGGCCGCCCATGGCCCGCACCAGTTCCCTCACCGAGACGCCGGCGAGGGGAGGGGAGTGGGAGGGCGTCAGCGGCTGGGACCCATCCACGGCGTCGCCCTTGAACCACTTCTGCAGGGCCTGCAGCTTGATGGCCCCGCCGCCCACCACTCCGGCTATGGCCGATCCTATGTGGGCCGGCAGCAGCTCCACGGCGGGCAGTGCCTCCTGTTCGGGATCCTCGACCTCCACCTGTTGCTGCTGCTGCTGCTGCTCCTCCCTTTCCCGCTCCTCCTGCACTTGGGCCTCCCGCTCGGCGAGATCGGCATGCTTGGAGGGATAGAGGAAGGGATTGGTGGACTGATGGCCGGCCAGGAAGCGAGCCGGCTTCGACTTGGCCGGACTGAGGACCGGACTGGGATCGGGTTCCGGCTCGGGACTGGCCTCGCCGCTGCCCGACGGACTGACCGGCGGCGGCTCCTCCTCCTCCTCCTCCTCCTGCTGCTGCTCGGCCGCCTCGCCCGCGTCGCCCTTCCGCACCGACGGACTAACCTCCTTGTCGGTCACCGGCTGCAGGAGCATCCTGGCCAGGTGCTGGTTGAACTGCAGACACCACGCCTCTGTGGGGTACCAGCCCATGGTGCAGTGCTGCCGGATGGACTCCGTGGACAGGCGCAACCAGATCCCGTCGTCGTTCTCGATCTCGTCGATGAACGAGATCACGCCGCCCACCCGCACCACGCCCACCTGCTCCGACTGCAACGTGGGATGGGATCGAATCCGCAGCCCAGAACTATGGCGTGCCTGCAAGTGGAATTTAAATGTTAAATATATTTATTTGTTTTTGTTCATCATCTATTATCAGTGTTTCTCTCCTTTTATCAGGTAATCTTTATAATCGTTATACCCTTAAAGCTATAACAAAATTTATTATTTCTCAATTTTTGTTAATATATTAAAAACAAGAAAGGAAAGCTAACTTCGGGCGGAGCCGAAGTTGATATACCCTTGCAGATTATTCTGTAAATTATTGATGCATTCTTAATAATCATAAAAAATTCCAACTTCCTAACTTTAAAAACGCCAAAGTTATGGAATTTCCAATCGTTCAGTTATATGGCAGCTATAGGATATAGTCGGCCGATCCCGGCCGTTCCGAAAGATGGGTGTGTGCAAACTTTCAATTTGATATCTTTAAAACTGAGAGACTAGTTTGCGTAGAAACAGACAGACGGACAGACGGACGGACAGACGGACATGCTTATATCAACTCAGGAGGTGATCCTGATCAAGAATATATATACTTTATAGGGTCGGAGATGTCTCCTTCACTGCGTTGCACACTTTTGACCAAAATTATAATACCGTCTGCAAGGGTATAAAAAGTTCAGTCGACTTTCCGATTATTACTACAGCAACTAACTACTTATGTATATGTTCATTTTCTATAAAAATTAAAACGTATTTTATAGAATTTGGTATTTAGTCATAGAAATTGGCCAGCTGCCTTTTACAGCTGTTTGTTTCGTTTTCAGCTATCTGTAAACGTATCCGGCTACCGAACTCACATTAGCCGACATGTGATATGTACATGTTCATAGTTGCATACCTGATAACGGCGCAATTTGCTGGGTGCCTGTGGCCTTCGTTGGGCACTGCTCCTCTGAGTGGGTGGTGGCAGGATGCCCTCCTTGACGTCCACGCGGTAGACCTCCTCCAGCGGAATGCCGTCGATGGTCACCGCCAGGCAGTAGGCACCCACCGAACTGGGCGTCCACTGGACACTGAACGTGCCGTCCTCCATGTCCTTGGCGTTGAGGAGTTCCGTGATGCGTGTTTGCACCGGACTGGCGTAGCGAAGCTCTTCGAACGAGTAGTTGGTGAAGGGCTTCATGAAGGTGATCGCTTTGAAGACCATCTTCTCCTTGGAGGTGGGCTCGTAGTTGAGTCGCGGCGGCGGGGCCATTCCGCCCCAGCCCCAGGTGTCGCCGGAGGCACGACGCATCCACAGGTTTGCACCGGGTGCAGTTACTCCGGTTGCTGGGGCACCGGACGTTCCGGTTCCTATTCCCGTTCCCGTTCCGGTTGCACCATTCGGACCCGACCCCGTGGGTATCGCCTTGATCTCCACCTTGAGCTCCGGCACCAGGACAGCATCTCCATACTGATCCCGAATGGCGACCGTCACCTGGGAGGGCCAACCGTAGCGCAATGGCTCCGTGATCGTGTTCAGCTCACATCTACAAAAAAAAAGGTAAATTTAACAATAACTCTTTAAAAAATGTACATATTATATTTAGGGTTTAAAATTAATAAATGGAGATTTATAGGAAATATATCGAGAGTTATCAATATATGTATGTACATATGTATGTATACGTACTTATTGGGATCCAGGCGTGATTCTGGTTGCAACCAGGCCGCCAAACGTGCGCCCGACGATCCTGGCGCCCCACTAATAAAGTCCTTGAGGAACTGCCGCTCATTTGACTGGGATCTGAAAAGGCGAAATTAAATGGAATATAATTAATAAACATCTTGTTTACTAACAACAATTTAAAACAGGGACTTTTAAATGTAATTAGGTTCCCTTTTATCACATTTTATTATAATTATTATTTTGTATGATAAATATTATGGTATGGTAAATATTATGAAATAGAATTTTTAAAGCCATTTAAAAATAGTACTGTTATAATTGATAACTTCCAACCAGAAGATTTTCATGAATTTGTTTCTAATAATCATCCCATTATCCCATCCCATCCCATTTTGTGCCGTTCTCATGCATCCCAAAACATTTTATGTCCTTCCCATTTAAATAATCCTATTGGGGTTTTTGACTATATATACAAAAAAATAAAATAGTTTTAAATTAATAACTTATAATGTTATACGTGCTTAAAAGTTTTCAATAGGTCCAAATGTATCTCTGAAATTTCTCCTTTGGCCAAGAAAACATATCAGTTGAAACCGTAACCTCCTTCAGTTAATTCCATTAAATGCAATTGTTTTGTAAGGGTTACAAATCCTTTTAACGGAAAGAGATATTCTCTAACTAATAGTGTTGTAATAATAAATGTACGGCCAGTCAGAATTCCACTTCGAATTCTGTGCCTTGGTGGGGGGTTAATGTTCGATGTGATCAGGTAGAATCGCAGGGCACTTAAATCCATTTCGTTCCAATCAGAGGCACAGCATAGCATCGAAATCAAAGCTGGACCGCCCGGCGGAAGGAGAGTGGCACGTAGAAGAAAGGAGAAAGACTGGAAGAGGAGGTACAAACATACTCACATATACCCATACAGTCATAGGTAGACTGGAATAAGGGTCAAAGGGCACGTATCGGCGCAGCAGGCGGTGCACGTGTGCGAGTGAATGGACGGACTCACGGACACAGGGACAAACAGACAAACGGACAGGCACGCACATGCAGCGACGTGTGAGAAAATAAAAGATCGTCACAGAACCGTTCCCAAATAAGATAACATACAATATTATCAAAATAATACATACATACATACATGTATATATGTACATATGTATATATTTCCAAGATAACATTAGCGAATATTACGAGCTATTTCCATACATATGTACATACATATGTATGTACATATGAATGTATAACTAAGAACTGCAAATCAGGCTATAACCTACTTTTTATTATACAAGCATCTTATCTTCATAAATTACAACGGAACAACGTTATATTATTGTATTATACTTTGTAAAAATATATGTACATATGCAAAAAAAAGTAAACCTACTTTAAATCCCTTTTTTTTAATAGCTAATTAAAACGGCAGCCTTTAATGAGTTAATAGAAATACCGATTACAAAATAATGTTTGCAAAATAAAATAATTAATTGTTTTTGCCTTCTGAAAAATGTAGTTTTTCAATAAGATAAAATTGGAAAAGTACGCCCAAAAGGCTCGAAAGAAAGAATATGAGTTGTTTTGGTTATCATTATTTGTACTCTAGATTTAAATTTACAAGCTCACCGCCAAATATTCAGAATAGGTGCCAGGTTCTTAAAATTATATTGCTACTATTGTAGTGTAATAATAACACAGTAACAGGTAATTTCTTCCGAGAAAATCTTCCCGCTTTAAGTAATGGAGTGCGGGGGTGGGGGGGTGCGTTTTGGGGCTATAACGGTCGCATTAGAGGGAGTATGGTTAAAAGAGAGGGGGGATAAAACCGAAACACACACAAAGCTGCGCACACACATATTTCATTTACATAAAAAGCAAATAAAACAATACCGAAAAAATAAATACAAACGAAATGGAAATGGGGTATGTGGATGGGGAAAAGTGGAGTTTTCCAACGAAAATTATAGTTTAATGGGGGCGGGGGGGAGTGCAGTACACCACCCTGCACTTCACTGCGAAAACAAAAACATAACCAAACCGATGAAAAGGAAGAGAAAGAGAGAGGGCGAGAGAGAGAGTGATAAAGGGGGGCAAAGACAATAACAGAAAAGGGCAGCAGCCAACTGTGGTCACACGTGTGTGCATGACTGTGTTTGTGTGAGAGTGCGTGAGTGTGCGTAAGCTACCTGTGGGAAACACGTTTACACTGCAATATAACCCTTTTACCCCCCTGAATACGAATACGTTCCCCTCACCTTAGTAAAGTATACACATTTTAATACAATTTTAACTGAATTACTAAGAAGACAAGAAAATTAATTTTAGTTAAATCATTATAATAACTGCCAAGTGTTTATTTGAAAGTGAAAATTACCTCACAGTCGTTTTCAAATAATTGTCATACAAATATTTGCTCTCTCGTCTAAAGCACCCTATTTGAACTGGAAGTTTTTATAAACATAGTTTTATCTTTCTAAGTGTAAATTATTTGCATTTAAATGTCAAGTGTCTTTAATTTATCTTTGCATTAAAAAGGTAATTATTTGATTACACTTTAGCCCGCTTTCTCGTCTTTATATCAAGCTAGAAGTAGGGTTTAAGCAGCAAATTCCACACGTTTTTTTATAAAGTACCACTTCGGCTCAGTGTACTCTTGCAAACAAATGGAAATGGAGCGCAAAGAAACAAGTTGCAGGGTCCCAACTGGAGTTCCACTGGGAGAGAGAGAGAGAAAGAAAGGCCGAGGGCATCAAAAAGAGAATGGGACGCGTGTGCTCCCTATTGCGGCAATGTAATCGTTCATTCATTCATTCAATTCATTTTTTATCGTGCCACAAAATGCGGAAGAGTTGCCTTGTCCAAAGGGGCAAAACAACAACAAATAAAAAGGGGGGAGGCGGATAGATAGATAGATAGACAGAAAGAGAGAGACAAAAGCACACAAAGTAAATGACATTCGTCAATTTCTTTATCGCTCACTCAACTCTAAAAAAGTCAAACCATTTAAACAATATTTTCTGATCATTACGAAAATGAATAATGTAATAAAATAAATAATATCAATCCTGATCAATAAACCTCAGATGTTAGCCCTGCTTAAAAAAACAAACTTTTTTAGCTCTAGATAAAGAATCTGAAAATCAGTAAAAGTTCTGATAACTAATATAGTTATATATATATATTTTATTAGTTTTTTAAATTTCAAGATAAAAAGCACTATTAATATTTCATATTCCTAATGAGGATTTATAGTCAAACGATATGGGTATTTTATTGATTCGAAATAATGAAAACGAAAAGTTTGGCTTAAAGTGAGTTCATAAGTGATTTCACTTAAACATCTCCAGGGATTCCTATGGCACACCCTCATTATAGGGCGGAATTTTGGGAAATCGGGGATGTTATGGAAAGGAAAATATCATGACGAGATCCGAAACGCAGACAGAAATCACCGATCCAACGACGTAATAATTGAGTGGTTCGGGCGGGGGAACCCGTATTTTTCGACGTCCCACCCGTCATGATCATCTATCTCCTTCTCTCCCTCGCTCCTTCTCTTTTTTCCCACTGGGTGGAGCGGTGTAACTTCCGCTTTCCGCTTTGCCTCCAAATTGAACGCAAATTGATTTGTTGCAATGTGCAATGGGTAGAAGGGAGTATTGAAAATGGGTGGGGAAAAGGGGATTATCATCCACCTCTTTCTAATACTTGCAATTAAATCTACCAGCCCATCCTCCCAACTTCCACCTCAAAGTGCCCTTTGCCATTCTAATATATATATATTATTTTTATTATCTCTTTATCTAAAGTCTAAAGGCTTATCGCCCTATGAATCAGTTGGAAGCCAAACGCAGTCTAAGTAATAATAAGATCTATTTATAGATCTATAAAAGCCAAAATTTATAAAATTTCTTTCCGTATCGCTTGATTTTGCTTATCAAATATGTAAAAACGGTACGTACTTATGTATCTAGATATTTACATAAAATAAATCTACAAAGTTAGACTTTTGGTGTCGTCAACATATTAACATTAAATGAAAATGTGTTCAAAGACCAAATTTGTAATTCACTAGCATAAAGAGGGTATTAAAATATGCAGTGGATGACAAAAGATCACAATAAAGGGCGACTTAAAGTGGATTTCATCTGGTCTTGTTCTTTCTCCTTCTCCGGTTTATCTTTCCCGACTCGTCTTCTTCTTTTATACAAACAAATATGTATAATATGGACTGGACTCAGCATGAAATGAAATAAAAGCGGTTCAGCTGATTTAATTTATCGAAAAGCCCGACCGAGAAAAGGCAGAGATCAGCTGTGAGGTGACCGAGAGATAGAGAAAAAAAAATTGGGAGAGGCATACACTACACGAAACTATTTCATTTCCACCATTCCTCTCCAATTAATTATAAACATAAGAAGAGCTCCACTTAAATTTGCAATTTCATTAAAATTATACCAATTATATTTTGTTTACGTTTAAATTATCGAAAAACAGAAATTTTTGAGCTCTGAAAACATAGAAGAGTTTCCATGAATTAGTTTTAATGAATCTTTAAGAGGTGATTTGGCTTATATTTGACCTGGGACACAAATATGAATTGATATTTGATAGATGAAATATATTGCGCCCAATATAAAAATGTATCTTTAGGTGTGCGTGGCCAACTTAAAAAAGAATATTGCGTTTCATATGCATCAATAGAATATGAATTCCTAACGTTTACAGAACTAGATCGACTCGGCTATTGATCCTGATCAAGCTAATATAACCTTTAACGCTATCCACGATCGCCGCAGTGTATTACGCATACGATGACGAAACCCTCTTTTATGGTAAACAGCCCAGAGAGAGCGAGAGCACTACCATATACATATGTATCTTTTGCGCTTATCGAAATGGAAGTACGAATGGAATGGAACGGGTAACGCTAGATCACTAACCGCTCCAACATTTCATTTGCGGTCGAGCTGCCATTGAGTGAGCAACAAGTATCGTCGTGCGGGTCAGCATTTGTGTTTATAATTTCTTTCCAATCGAGATTCGCGGCGTTCTTTTGTATATTTTTTTGTTGCCTTTTTCTTATTGTTTTTTTTTTTAATTTCTGTGGATGACGAAGAGCAGAATTAATATGTGCTTTAGTGCGACCCCTTAAAAGATCGCTGCCAAAAAGAAAAGAGGGCGATAGTGCGGAGTGCCCGAAACGGCTTTTTATTACACATATAGTTGGGGCAAATCCACTGCCAAACGAAAACGAAACTGTTTTGCAAGAAAAACAAACAAGAAAAGAAAGTGAAAAAATAGTGAAGGAGATGAAGCACGTAAACACGATGGATTCATTGGGATTGATAACTCGAACCCTTCTCGGTATCTTAATTGTGACATCGGCACTCGATGATGTAAACGCCTATTCTGAGCGCTACACTCGCCTACCTCTCCGCGGACATTCGCAAATCGGTGGGGGGCAGGACCCCGCCCCCTGGGCAAAACGGGACGATCTATGCGACCACTGCCTCTGCCCCATCCCAAAGGCCATATGCGACTTCCAGAGAAATAAGACGGTGAGTTTCGGTTGAGGTGTCACTCATAACCGCAGCCGGACAAAAGCGGTTTTCAATATTACTTAATTGGTCATCAATTTGATATATCTTAATCACAGCACGCCGTTTAAATACTCTAGTTTTTTTTTTTTGGTTAAAAATATAATGGGGATTTTATGCTTATGTTTTTTTTTTTTGTGGTTGTGACAAAAGAGTTTTTATATGCAATTACTAATTTATTCTGAAATCTACCATAAAATTCGTCATATTTAAATATATGTTTATCAAAAAAGCTCTTATCTCTGGCATTTAAAAAGAACCAGAACATATTATTTAAATTTGTATAGTAATAACTAATATTGCAAATAAAATATTGGATTTCGGTAATAGAAATGAAAACCTTATAAAAAAAACACATTTATGTAGTGAAAAAAAAGCAAGACGCCATTTTAACTAAGCCAGTCAAGAAAAAAGCTCCAAAAGTGCAGCCGGCCTCTAGAATTTTCGAACTCATGGCTAAGAAAGCCCAATAAGCTCGGCAAATCAAGAATTTTCCAAGAAGTAAACTTTCTGCACAATCGAACTGCAGCTTATCTTTTTCGCTCGCGACAGCTGTTTTGACCCTAAAAACACTTAAAGCTAGCGGAGATCCAACTGAAACATGTATCATTGTTACAACGGCCACTCCTAAATTCGTTAACCTTGCATTTTTAATTAGCGAAAAATGTTTGAATCGGATTTTGTGTGTGACATTTTTAAATGGAATTAGCTTTTTTACACAGCAAGCAGTTATTGTATAAGAAAAGTGTAGCTTGGTTATGGCCTTTTTGAATTCCGTTTGGCCACAAAATATTGGGCAAATGTTCGCATTTTGACCACTTATAGCCATTGCAAGCGATAATTGCAGTTATTAATGGCTCAACAACGTTTTTCACGTAAACTGGGTGCATTCAGCAACAGTGCTATTTCTTTTAAAACATTTTAAATAGTAATGTTGTTGTAATACATATGTACAGATAAATTAGTCATTAATAGTAATCTTGAGTGACTATGATAACCAAAATGACGTATAATCAGGTAATCACTGGCGTGTGACTTGCTTTTTATAGACAAGAAATAAACACCGTATATCACTAAGAGTAACAGTAATTTAACCACTAAAATCCTTATATAGCACTATTTGATTTTATTTAGTGGTTATTAAGTGGCAGTTATCATTTCTGTAATCAGGCGTTGGACATCAAATGGCCACTGTACACAGGCGGCATACACACATTTTACGCATATGTGGAAGCTTTTGGCAGCTAACTGCCAAAGTAAACTAAAATTTAACTCAACGACGAGTCAGGCGGATAGAACAAAGAAAAGCGCAGAAACAGAAGCTGGTGGTGGAGGAGGAAGAAGAGGAGGGAGGGGCTGATAAATAAAAGGCGCAGGGACAGTGGCGGCGATAAGTGAGCGCACACAAATCAGGAATCACTTTGGCTTTTCTACGGCGATTGTTGACTCACATACGTGGTTGTTTATTTAGTAACGACCAGATTTGGAAAATGGAAAATATATTTGTATTCAGCATACTCTGCAGTTCGCTGAAATTACTTATGATTTAATGACTAAAATGGTGGCTGCCATAAGTAAAAAAAAAAATGTACATTGTACACACAACTGATTTGTTTATTTTTTATGAGTCATTTTGAATACATAAATTTTATTTAATGACCAATATGGGTCATCCATTCTTATCAAAATTATTATTATCTGGGATTTACTAAAATGTTATTTTTAATAAGAAAATAATATTTTTAATGTTTTGGTGAAATGGCTTATGCAATTTAATTTATCTTTTTGGGAAATGTAAAACAAACTTGCTGTTTTTTAGATCGTTAGAAATGAACATAAAAATATTATCCGCAAGAAAAGAATAATCCGAAATTAGTGGAAAATTTAGAATAGCATACTAATAAGATTTTAAAAACCAAACTATCTGAAACAGTTTATTATTTCTGTTGATGGCTAAAATGTACTTCACTTTCCGACCATGGAATTTGGGGAAAATTATAGTTTTTCAGCGTTTTCCGGTCTTGAGGAAAATTCGCTGTTTTGAAATGCGTTGCGAGCACTTTTTGATTAATAGCACGCTGAATCGGAATGTAAACAAAAGCCAGAGCTGCGTGCAAAATAAAATGAATGAAAGAACAAAACGAAAGAAGGCGGCGCCGTCGCCGCTCCCTCTTCCTCTTCCCACCCTCCCTATAAGGTAGTACCGCCCCCCCTCCCTCTTTTTGGCAGCCAACCCGTTCGACAGGTTATGCTAATGAGTCAGGTGTGCGTGTGTGCATTTGTTGCTGCTCTCTGTGGCTCTCCGAAATGAAAAAAACAAGCGAGCAAGTGCAAGTGATTGAAGAGTAAATTTATGGCCAGCAAATCGACTTCTTGTAGACAATATGCAATCTTTGGATATTTTCATAACATATACAAAATATATTTCCAGGCTGTATTCCGCACAGGATTTAAAAAATTATATTGTAATGTTTACATTTAAAATTCATGAAAATAAAATCGGGAATTAACCATATTATGTTTCATACAAAAATGCAATTTCGAATAATGTCAGTAAAAATTGAATACCTTCTCATTTTACAATAAGCTCTATAAGGAAAAAGCATTTAAACCTAATTTTTAAAATTATATAGTCAATTTAACTAAGTACTAATTTCCTGAAGAAAAATTATAAAGAATATAACGCATAAGAAAAATAGAAAATGCAAGTGATTGCTATTTATATTTGTATTTCCACGAAGATATGAAGCTATAATACGAATAATGGTTTTAATAATGTACATAGATCACATGCACTTAATTATATACTTGCCATATTTAATTGATAAAAGCTTAAAAGTACCTCGATTAACGCGAAATAGCAAGGTCATTTTAATTATTTGCACTATATGCATGCGTCTATAGAAAATAATTTAATTTACCAGAGAATTGAACTCTAAATACAAGTAGAAAAAGAAGATTTCTTCAAATTCTATCACCATATGTTTATAAAACAAATCAGAGTGCAGTTCCGAGAATTAATAGCCATTTCTATTCATAAATCAGTAATCAATAATCCAAATGCTCTACTTATGTGTTCTTGAAAGATGCGTATGGATGTATATATTTAGTATCTTGAAGATATAAGACCTTTGTTTTGTTTGCTTTGACCAAAAATATCTCTCTCGCGTTTTTAATAGATGAACATATATCTTCTATCGTTTACGAAGTCGTTGAATTCTGCACTTCCTCAGTAATTGACTGAACTTAGACGCTTTTTCCAGCGGATGTGGGCTAAGCGGGTGGCACTTTTTTTCCCCTCATCCCCTCTCATTTCTCCGCCTTTCTCCCCGCTTTCCCTTTCACCCTCCGCTTATCTTTTCTTTGTGAGCGATTGAATGAGTGTGTGCGTCGCATGTGTCGTCATCTTGTAGATACAGAATTTTATTTATTTGCTGTTCATGTTCAGTTTTCTATGTGCGAAGTGGACAGACTATCGAAAACAGAACCCAAAACAGAAAGGGAATTGGAAACCGAAAACGGATGGAGAACAGAAACGAGTGGAAATGCATTCCACCCACTTTTCCAACCCATCCCACTTAAAATCTATAGATTGACAGTAATAAGCCAAAAAGACCTCTTATGTAGTGTCGGCAGCTGGAAAACACCGGAAAAAACCGAGAACAACTCAAAGCAAAAGCAGTTCAATCATATGAGACTCAAACAAAGAAAGGGTGCACTGAAAAAATTCGGATCGCTTTCAGAAGTTAACATGAGGTTAGAGTTAACATGAGGTTTGAGTTAACATGAGGTTAGAGTTAACATGAGGTTAGAGTTAACATGAGGTTATAGTTAACATGAGGTAAGAGTTAACATGAGGTTAGAGTTAACAAATGCCGCAACTTTTTTTAGCTGGATTTTTATTAAGTGAAAAGTTTTATTTCTATCTCTAAATTTTCTATTTCCAAAGGAGTTATACTGGATCTTTTCTTTCATACATATATATTTGAAATAATACTTTTTATACAGTTTTGTTACACATGCTTTTTTTCCTTAAAGTAACAGGCCAAAAAAAAATTGGGAACATTTTTTCCCTCTGCAAGGAAAAAAGGAAATGGAGGGGAGGGGGTTTTCATTCCGAGTGTTTCTGTTTTAGTGGAATGCGCCTACTTAAATTCCCATTTCGAATGGCTACTTAAACTACTTGGGACCAAATGTTATGGCTGCGAGCTGCTAAAAATCCATCAATTGCCACAAATTGAATGCTCGTTCCACAAAACAACAATAAAACAACAAAGAATCGCTAAGAGGAAGAAAGAGAAGAGGAGTGTGAATGCAATGAGGTGGGCCACAGAAACAAGAAAAATCTGAAGACAGCGCCCCAGGAGGTGCCTAAAGATCGAGATACAAAAAAAAAAGCGAGAGTAGAGGCATCGGCGAAAAATGTGCATTCGATTTAATTTTGCCAATAATTCCGCTAATCGGTAAACAACTTTTTTCCAAACACACAGCCACGGAAACCTCGTTTTCCACTTCGATATGGAAATGAAAACATTTACAAAACATATGCAATCGATGTGTATACATAATATGGCTGCACATGACTCAAATCTCTAAACCATAAAGCAGAAATCCATAAAACCATATAAACATAAACCATTCGGAATGAGGTTTACAGATTGACCAGATATTAAATTCATAAGAACATTTCTATACTTTTGGTAATATCTGGTATATTTACCCGTTGATCTCAACTAATGTTATGATTAATGATATAGTCTTCTAGAAATGTTTTTATATTGAGTTAAGATTCTTAATAAAATGAAGTAATAAATAGGCTAGTGAATAATAGATAGATACTTCATACAAATTTATATGAATTATTCTTTAGATAGAAAGTACAAAATCCATTTTTTTTTTGGTTTGTCAGGTAAACATTGTTTTGGCAAGTTATTAGTTAACTTTAACCTTTAGGAAGTAGA